TTGCCAACTTAGGTATTAGACTGCAGCACTTGTTTGAAGAACACCAGGAATGGTTTCTTCCAAAGCCAGCCTTCTGATGAGGGACTGCATGCACAAACCAGGGCACATCCAAACTCCCCTTTGACCATGGGGGTGTAGCAAGTGAACTTAGTTATACTTAGAAACTGCAGAAGTGCCCACTGCAGGCTGCAGTGTTGTTCTCTGCAGACAGTTAATGTCTGCAGCTGCAGAAGGTAATACATGATGGAGGCTTTTTTGGAGCATCTCTGTGGAGACAAAGCCTCGGTGCCATGCAAGTCAGTGGGAGTTCTGCCGCTGACTTCAGCGACGCAGGGATTTCACCCACTGTGCTTCATTCTCCTCCTGCTGTGTTGTACAAAGCTGTATATTGTTTGGGACTCATCTCAAATTGTCTTTATCAAAATTACAGTGTGCTTAGGGGGTTCCAGGAAGGATTAGGCAATTATATGGGTAATGGAAATCCACAATTAGGCTAGGATTACGAGGGAAAATATCCAAGTTTGGAAGCAAGATAAATTCTCGTGTTTTGAGGCTCAGATTAACCTCTGCGTAAGCAGGCTGGAAAGAACCTTCCTCTGTAAACAACTTATTCCAATATACTCTGTTTCTTGCACTTTCCTTTGAAGGGGGAAGCATTTCTGGTAAAAGAGAAATGAAAGACAGTGGAGAGAAGCCAAAAGTAGTGCCTAATAAGTGATATTTGCTCCTTTTAGGTTGATTTACCTATTCCTGATAAGCCTGTTAAAATGTAGCTTAAATGCACACAGACAAAGGAACTAATGACTGTTTAATACCTATTCTATTATTACATTGTGATGTGCAATTCAAAAGCAGCTCAATATACACTCTGTTGCTGGGAAATAGTTCAATTCAGTGTTTGTTAGTCCAAATTCCCCCTATTCCCTTTTGTTCCAAACACTTTTCCCTGTTCCCACTTCACTTTCTTGTGTTAGTTTATGACACATAGGCAGTATATAGTTATTAAAATGACTTTGACTTTTTGTTTCTTATTTCTTACAAGCTTCATTCCTATTAGGAAGGGTTTTCCAAGTAAGTAACATCTGTTGGCTTTTGTCAGCAATTAAATCCTTTCAGTGTACATCTGTGGGTTTATGTCCATGCTCATGAATCTGAGTGTGTTGTCACAGTCCACACCTGCATGTTACTTTTTGTTGTTCCCAGTTGGGAGATTACACTGAGGAGAATAAAAGCAGGCTCTGATGTAGCACTGTAATGCGTCAGGCTTTTCCATCAGTGTTTGTGATTCTAATCCCCATCCAGAACTGCAGAAGCAGCAAGAAAAAAGAAGGAAAGAAGGAAGAAGTTGAAGAGGTACCTGCTCATTGGTCTGGCAACCGTTGGAGGCGGAACAGTGATTGGTGAGGCTGCCCCAGGAGCTTTGGAGACCTGCAGGCCTGAACTGCATGCACAGCACTAGGGGCAGAGGGGGGAGGCTATGACTGAGTTTCACATCCAGCAGCAGAAACCATCACAACTTTGAGCCCATGCTCTAGTTTTAAAACATTCACTGCTTTCCTTTGCCAAACTGAAGACAGTATGTTGCTTCAGATAGCAAAAAACCCACCCTAATCATCCAACCAACAACAAAAACCCCCACAGCAACAGAAGAAACCCCAAATCCAAGAGAAGTTTCATCCACACAACAAGGAAAGAATTAGCTGGGAAAGTTATTCCAGGGTAGCTTCACTGGCTGGGGGAAGTATTACACTGAGGTTGTCACCCTTAAAACATGTTTTCTCCCTTTTCACTCTTATCCTGTGTGTTATAAGTGGATCAGATCTTCAACTCTCAACTCAAAACTTCAACTCTCTAGTGTGAGACTAGATCAATATTTCCTAAGCAAACAGGGCACATCTCACCCCAGGCTACCTCACACTCTGACTTGCATTTCTGCTGAAGTCATTCAGAGAATCTGTGCAGAGACTCAGGGCCTGGGGAAGGACTCAGAAAGCCCCTTTGTCAGTGATGCCAAAAAGACCATCATCTGTACTCGTTCAGTAGCATTAGGAGCACTCACACAGCACGGGGAGTCGACTGCCTGATTTTAGAAGTCATAATAATCTAGTGATGTTACTTGTTGCATCTTCAGGCTTGACAGGGGGTCTTGCTGCCCCCCTGGTTGCTGCAGGAGCTGCTACAGTCATAGGAAGTGCTGGAGCAGCTGCTTTAGGTTCAACTGCTGGAATTGCTGTCATGGCATCACTTTTTGGAGCAGCTGGAGCTGGCCTTACTGGTAAGAGGGTGACCACACATTTCTCAGCTACTGAGGCACAAGATCATAGAATATTTTAGGTTAGAAAGGACCTTAAGCTCATCCAATTCCAAGCCCCTGCCGTGGGCAACCTTTCACTAAACCAGATTGCTCCAAGCCCTCTCCAACCTGGCCTTGAACACTGCCAGGGATGGGAAATGAAGGAAATGAAAGCTTGCTGCTCTAGGTTAGAAAGATGCTGCCATGGAAAGCAGCAGCTCCTACATCTGATGTCTGGTCTGAAGCAAAAAAAGCCTTCTGCTGGTTGCTTCAGATTGCACAAGCTCAGAAGGATCAGGCTGGCTCCATACCAAGTTCTAAGTAATGCATGGACTAGCTGAGGGTTTTGGAAAGGGAAAAACAACCCTATCCCAAGTTACTCTGAACGTCTACTGTTAGCAGAGTCTGTCCTTGCTGTGTGATTTCTCAATTTGTATTTCTGCCTTGCTGTTTGTAGGGTACAAGATGAAGAAGCGTGTGGGAGCCATAGAAGAGTTTGAATTCCTCCCACTTACTGAAGGAAAGCAGCTTCACATCACCATAGCAATTACTGGATGGCTGTGCCCTGGCAAATATGGTAAGAATAAGATGAGGAAACCAAGAGAAGCCTGAGAGCCATGTCTGGATCCCACTCCAGGCAGTGTTTGTGCTCTCATAGCCATGGCTTCCCCATACTTGCATGGCCTGGTGACTAAAACAGATCCCCTCTCAATATGAGACTTTGTAACCCAGTCTGCAGTCGCAGTCAAAACAGAGGAAAGAGAGAGGACACTAAATTGGTAGTGATAATAGGAGTGCTAGTCAGAGCAGGATTGTTTCTGTTGATAAATGCTATATGGTTTAGCTAGGAACGGTCTGTTTGGAGTGGATCATTTCCAGCACTAGTACAAAGTGTCTCACCTAGCTTGGAGACCTTATGTTTCTCCTCCAGTAATTAACAGAAAAGAGTATCTTTCTCCTGTGTCTGCCACCTAATGAGCTTTATTGGCAAGAAAGTTCTGTGAAGGATACCCTGTTAAACACAACACTCAAAACTTCCAGGCAGCAACCTTCAAAGGTCTGTAGTGTTTTGTTTGCCAATACAGCTTGTCACATAAAATATGCCAACTGTCTGATAGGTTCAGAACCTGACTGAACAGCTGCCAGTTTCTTCCAAAGCCTCATAATTAACACTGGGTATCATTAATGCAGAAAGATGTGTCTGTCCTCCCCCTTGTTAGGTTGCAGCTTGCTGTCAGATTAAGGTTATTTTCACTTTGCAGTACTGTGCTTTGCTTTCTCTCATTGTCTGCTTGCCAGGGGTCCAGATCCTCAGGGTTGGAGGGTTCCCAGGCACTGTTACAAAGACAAGTGTGTCCCTTCAGGAACCCTTTTGTGTCTGTTTGCCCTTAAAAGGGAGTTACAAATGACACACATTCTACTTCCATAACTAGCAATCTGCTATAATGTTTTCAAAAGCAAAACTAGGATTGTCATCCCTTTTCCTCCTTACAGCTGTATCTGTCTATTTACACACTCCCATGACTCCTTAAAACAGGATGGGATTTTTAGGGAATTCACTGCCTTGTGAGTTTTGAGCTCCCAGAAGCTGCCTGTCTGGATGTTCACAGAGCTGAGAGTATATTGTGGTATGATCTGACTTGGGGCTCTCTGCCCTGCACCCTTTGGAGAGGGAGCAGTATGGGAAGGGGTTAACACCTGGAGGGAAAACAACTCAACTGAAGCAGCTGAATGGCAAAGTAAAACTAACTGCAGGCTGGATGTGCTTGTTTTCAGACAGGATCATTGCTGCAGTCTTTGCCCACCTCACTCAAGTGCTAGGAAATTGCTCTGCAGTGGATTTTGACAAGATCTTATGTGTTTTCCATGCCTCTGGTCCCATTGAGCTCAGTCCACGCAGCCATTCAGCACTCATCTTTCTCAAGACAGGCCTTCCTTTGGCCTACATTAGAAGGTGGAGCTGCAGGACTCAGCCTGATGGCTGATGATAGGAGGAATGTCCTTAATACCTGACATAATTAGTGTTAATGTCCATCTGTCTTTGCAGTCTCTGAATCAATTGAATGGGTCATGAATTCTGAGCCTGTCGATGCTGAAGCCTCTTTGCCAAGGCAGCTAAAGCTACACAATTCCTTACAGAGACCAAAACCAGTGCAAATACAGAGTCTAAATCTTTATTTTTAAATATGATTCCTGATTTTCACAGTAGATCAGTGCATTCCAGGTTCTTTTCTAATTCTCTGTTGGGCTCATCCAGCCAGGGTGACCTCTTGTAGCCATGGCTTCAGACATGACTTCCATGAGTAAGCCGCTGTTGTGCTTTCTCTGACCATAGATTCTATCTTTACAACCTTCCTCAGGGAGCTTCACAGCACCATGGAGCAGCATGTTGCAGTCGAGTGAGCAGTATTGTCTGGCCTGGGAATCCAAGTACTTGATGGAGCTTGGCAATGCCTTGGATACCCTGCTGAATGGTTTTGTGAACATGATGGCTCAAGAAGCCCTAAAATTTACTGTCTTGTCAGGTAAGGATCTAAATCACATCAGATCCGTTCGAGTGGCTCTTGTGCAGTTTCAGTGTTGGTGTCTGTTTAAAGGAGTAGCTGAGATCCTCAGCCACACCTATAGTTTAGATTTGCTTTCCTGTCCTGCTGTGCCTCTGTGTCATTGTCTCATTCCTTCAAAATGACAGCTGGAAACACCTTCCTTGACGTGTGACTGTGTTTATTTCTCTCTGTTGTTACACTGGGTTTTACTGCTTTACATAAAGCTTTCAGACATGCAGGTTACATTCATGCACAGTGTCTGTTTGTCTCCATATCAGAACATCAGCTTCTTTCTTATCTTCCATCTAGCAAAACATTGCTTAAATCAGCTCTTGAGAAAGAAGAAACTGGAAATGACAAGTTCCCAGGTTTAGCTTTCAACTTCAGTGACCTGTCTTGCTTTTGATGTTTCCCAAGAGCAGCCCCGATTTGTGACTGTGCTGTGCTGTTTGCTTTGTGTGTGGCAGGTATTGTGACAGCTTTGACTTGGCCAACCTCGCTCTTGACTGTTGCCAGTGTCATTGACAACCCCTGGGGAGTGTGTCTCCATCGCTCTGCTGAAGTAGGCAAGCACCTAGCACATATCCTGCTCAGTCGACAGCAGGTAACTGGTTAGAAATGATCCAGGAATAATGGCTGGAAGGGATATGGCCTGTGGAGGTTAAGTTTTAGAGTCATGCTCCTTAACTCCCGAGTGATATCTTTCCAGAGACAAAAACCCTAATAATAATATGAAAAAAATGCTGCATGAATCTGGTTCATTGGGGAAAATAGGAGATCCCAAGTAAATCAGAGATTTGTACCATTTAACCTAAGCTTTTCTAATTGAAGAAGAGGAGATCCAGGTCATAATTGACAAGAGGCTTGACCAGCTCACCAAACAGCCTGGCCAACGCACCTAGTGGAAACCTGAGAACAGAAAGTAAAGATAGGTGAAAAGGGAAAGAGAGTAAAGAGTGTTAAAAATGCACCCTGATAAATACAAGGAAAGGCAATAAACTTGATTTCATATGAGCTCTTTGATTTGCTTGCGGGCTTTTGTTTCTGCCTTTTAAGCATCCTCTATTGTGAAAACACACATTCCAATGCTGGGGGCATCTCAAACTAGATAGCATGATGGCTAAAGAGTCCATTGCACACCTACTCCCTCCTTAACACGAAGAGCATTTTATGTTCTTGTTGAGCTTAGACTCCCTTAGATCTCACAGAAAATCTCATTAGCTTACCCCACATCATTTGTAGAACAACCACACAGTGCTGCTGTCAGTCAAATCTAGAAGCGGTCAATATTTTTGTGTTACACCTTTTTCTGTTCATTGAAACATTTCTAGGAAGAATTTGATCCTTGAATTAGGCTTTCATTTGGAAACCTCAAGCCAATGACAGCTTCTGGTTTGTTTCTGTTTGAAGCATCTACTTTATTGTAACTTGTGATCATTAGATTCTTTCAATTGACTTTTTGAATAGCGAAAAGATATCAAATATCAAAGTGTGTTTTGTGGATCAGGGTCTTGGGGATCACCTGGCCAGTGTCTCTTTCTGGGTCTAGAATAGTATTTGATGGCATTTCTTCCTTTTCTTTCTTAGGGCAAGCGACCTGTCACACTGATTGGCTTCAGTCTGGGTGCAAGAGTCATTTACTTCTGCCTGCAGGAAATGGCTCAAGAAAAAGGTAAAACTCACCTTCTAACCTTTTTCACCTTCATTTTCCTCACTGCCAGTAGAGAAGGTTTTCTTCCAAGAGAATCATAGAATCAAATCATGGTTTGGGTTGGAAGGGACCTTAAAGCTCATTCAGCTCCAACCCCTGCCACGGGCAGGGACACCTTCCACTAGAGCAGCTTGCTCCAAACCCCTGTGTCCAATCTGGCCTTGAACACTGCCAGGGATGGGGCAGCCACAGCTTCTCTGGGCACCCTGTGCCAGCCCCTCAGCACCCTCACAGGGAAGAACTTCTGCCTTCTATCTACAGAAGAGAAAGAGTTCTGGAACAGAGCTTGAGTCTTCTAGTATAAGACAAAAGCCTTAAACAAAAAGGTTTTGAAATGCATTTGGAGCCCAATTCTCCTGTCACTTCCACACATTCAGTGGATTAAATACGCAGTGCTCACTCGAGGTGCTCAGTGTGTCAGTTTGGTCTCCAGTCTGTAAACAACAACTTGACATTTAGTGACATTCAGCTGCTGGATCAGTCTGTGAGCTGCCCACACGATGCTGTGATCTTGGCAGAGGATGGCTTGCCTTTATTGGAAGCTCTCTGTAGCTATTGTAGCTGATTCCCTGAGTCCTCCCTTCCATTTAAGTCACTAAAATGCCACTGTCATCTGCTATTTTCATGGTAATTTTTCCCCAAAGTCAAGTATAAAACCATCTGTCAATTTATTACCCATTGTGGTTCTGTTTATTAATAGATTCTATTTTTGATTTAGAAAGAGAATAAAATGATGATCAGTTGATGCAAATTGCATCTTGGAGTTGAGTCAGTAGTGAGTGTGTGCCTGCAGCCTTCCCCCTCTGTGGCAGTTTACTTCATTAACCATCCAGCCTCACAAAGAGCCCCTAATAAATAAAGAGCTTTATAAAGGAAAATGTTCAATAAAGGCCAAGAAGGTGGGAATAGAGTCAAGTGAGGACAGAGCAGGTCAGCAGTTTCTCTCTTGACAGCTGTGTACCAGAACTTCACTTCTGGTTTCAGATCCAAGCCTTCAAAAACAGGAATTGTGGCCTCAAAATAAATCTAATCAAATCCAGAATGATCCTAATGGAGTTCTCCCAAAGCCAGAACCCAGATCCTAATCTGGCCCTAAATCTACTCTTCTTGTGTCCAAAGAATGCCAAGGGCTGGGATATTTCCAGGTTTTTATTTAATGGTGTGCAGCCTCGTGCTGGAATAAGGGGACTGTAGCTAAGGAATACAGGAAAGGAAATCATTAGGGGTCTTTAGGGTTGGCTGCCATTCTAAGGAAATCTTGCATTGTAATTATGTATCAGAGCAGCTCCCCACTGCACAGTGATCTTTCAGTTCCTTAATTGAATTATGAAAGCTGAGCTGTTGGTGAGATGAAAAGCAGCATGTTCAGTGCACATTGCCAAGGCACATTCCAGCGCAAGCCACAGAAGGAATGGAGCTGGGACCTGCGACATCTGAGACTCATTTGGGTTTGGGCTTGGACGTCTCACACAAAAGGAATACAAGGCCTAGACATGCAGCCTTTTGTATCCAGATGGCAGTGGCATTTCTGAGGACAAACAGCTAAGCACGGATTATCCAGTGAAACACCATGGCAGAAACTCAGATGCTGTTCACAGAAAACACTGTTCTGCAAAGCAATGAAATAACCTTTGGGATAGCTGATCACAAATGACTCTGGAAGCCAGAGCTCAGGAGGTTTTCAGAAAATGGTATTAGAGCAGAAAATGCAGCAATGACCCGTTAGAGACAAGTTACTGCATAGGGTGGTTATTGGTCATACTTCTTCATCACAATTCCCATGCATTTAGTGAATAAGTAGAGTGAACTATTGATAATTGCTGTTACCACCAGAACCTGAACCTTGGAACCAAACTAGGTGACGAATCACAGTGTACTGATTTATCTAATGCTGAAGAAGTTCTTCCCTGTGAGGGTGGTGAGGAGCTGCCACAGGGTGCCCAGAGAAGGTGCCCAAGGACTCTGAATTTCATTTAGCTCTATGGTATCACTCTTGGTCTCTCTTTACCAACATGATTTATGAATAGATATTGATATATTGGTTGGGATTTTAGGAAGGTAGCAGAGCTGCCCAAGATTTCTCATTCAATCATGATTTCTACTGGAATCCCCCAGCTGTGACTGTCTGATAAGAGGAAGATTTATTATGCATCAAAGTTAACATTCCTTTTCAGCAAATCTGCCCCATCCCTGGCAGTGTTCAAAGCCAGGTTGGACTGGGCTTGGAGCAAGCTGCTGTAGTGGAAGGTGTCCCTGCCAGTGGCAGGGGGTTGGAACTGGATGAGCTTTAAGGTCCCTTCAACCCAAACCAGGCTGGGATTCTGTGATCTTACCAGGTTTTATTTTTTGCCCCCTCTTCTTTATTTTCCTGCCTGTGCAGTCTTTATTGTTCTTCATCATGGAACAGTTTTGCAAACTGGGAAACAAGAGTGTCAGCACTGTAGAGGTCAGTGATCTGTTCTCAGGTTTCTGTCAACAATTCAAAGTGTGTATTTTTCAAGCATTTTAGTTCTAAGCAAGAAATAAGCTGTACAAAGCACTGGAGAAACAAAAGCTTCCAATGCCTTGCCCAAATGTCCAGGATGCTGATGAATTAGCTGTGTGTTTATTCAGTTGGTTCACACTATGGCCAGGGAATTTAGTACCTTGGTTGGAACAAGCTCGCCATTTGAGAGGCTTTGGGTTTCTTTTCTTTTTGGCTAAGCTCTTGAGCGTCTTTTTCATTGCCCATGATTGCTGGGAACAGGACTTTATTGCTCTCAGATTACACTACCAAAATGGAATAGCTCTTTGCTGTTCTCCATTGGTGCAAAATTTGCTTTGCAATAAGAAATAATACCACAGCAGCTCTTTTGGATTGTTGGCAGGTGCTGGGATTTACACTGCAGAGAAAGACCCAGGCACTGCATGCAGCTCCAAGTCCTTTCCTGCTATCAGGGGAAGGAAACCAATTGATTTACGTGTAAAAAACCAAGTCAGGCAGCACCTCCCCATCCAAACTTGAGGTGCTATGCACTCATTCCCACTTTCACATCCCCACAAACTTCAGCATACAGCTTACAGCATGCAAAGGCCAGCCTGGGAATGGTTTGGCTCACAGCTTGTGAATGCTGGGCTCCCAGGGCCGGCGAGTATGGATTTGGCATGCTATGCCCATGAGCCTCCAAGGACTCTGAATTTCATTTAGCTCTATGCTATCACTCTTGAGCTCTCTTTACCAAGATGATTTATGAATAGATATTAATATGTTTACTGGAATTTTAGTAAAGTAGCAGAGCTGCCCAAATTTTCTCATTCAGTCATGATTTCTGGTGGATTGCCCAGCTGTGGCTGTCTGATAAGAGGAAGATTGATTATGCATCCAAGTCAACATTCCTTTTCAGCAAATCATGCCCTGGGCACCCAGGTTAAAGTGCCCTTTATGAAAATCAAACAAATTTGGTAGATTATCGAAGTGGGTCTGGAGAGTCCCCCACTGCAACCTGCATCCAGCTCTGGGGCAGCAGCACAAGAGGGATGTGGAGCTGTTGGAACAAGGCCAGAGGAGGTCACGGAGATGCTGCAAGTGCTGGAGCAGCTCTGCTCTGGAGCCAGGCTGAGAGAGCTGGGCTGGGGCAGCCTGGAGAAGAGAAGGCTCCTGAAGGGGAGACCTGAGAGCAGCTCCAGTGCCTGAAGGGGCTGCAGGAAAGCTGGAGAGGGGCTTGGGACAAGGGATGTAGGGACAGGCCAAGGGGAATGGCTTTAACCTGCCAGAGGGGAGACTGAGATGAGCTCTTAGGCAGAAGCTCTTCCCTGTGAGGGTGCTGAGGTGCTGGCACAGGGTGCCCAGAGAAGCTGTGGCTGCCCCATCCCTGGCAGTGTTCAAGGCCAGGTTGGACACAGGGGCTTGGAGCAAGCTGCTCCAGTGGAAGGGGTCCCTGCCTGTGGCAGGGGTTGGAACTGGATGAGCTTTAAGGTCCCTTCCAATACAAACCATTCCAAGCCATTTCTCCCTCTTCCCATCAGTCTTCCCCCTTCACTATGTCAGGATTTCCAGTTTTCACATTTACTGACTCCAGCTTGAACTGCAGACACAATTTATGCAGAATGATGTTCAAGATCCTCCTTTCTGCTGCTCCTGTCTTTAAATCACAGAAGTGTTGAGTTTTCCATAGTACACATCAGAACCTACCCCCTCCTTCACGGATGTGTTAAAATACATTTCCTGATCTGTCTGCTCAATCTGAGCTGTTCTACTTTCATCTTTACAGACTTCCAAGGCATCATTGAAGATGTGGTCTTACTGGGAGCTCCAGTGGAAGGAGATCCCAAGTACTGGAAGCCTATTGCAAAAGTGGTGTCGGGCAGGATCATAAATGGTTACTGCAGGTCTGTACGTGCTTCATTGTCCTGGTATCACTTTGAAATTATTTCATTAATTTATCTCTTTTAGACATTGTAAGTGAGTAATTGTTCAGCTGGTGAGTATACTGATTCAGTAGCAGCAGAGATGGCAAGTGTCAGAGCCTCTTCCTGCTGAGGGTCTCTCCCTCAGATCCTTTTGGATGCCAGTCTTCAGGAGACACTGAAGGCTGGTCTGTGTCCAGCTCTCTGCTCTCTGTGATGCAAAGGAAGCCTGAGGTGCTCAGTGTGTGTGTCCTGTTTGTACAGTGGCTGTGTTATATCAGCTTAAAGCTGGGTCAGTGTATTTGTGTGCATCATTTGACATATTCTAAGGCCCCTTTCAATCTCAGCTTGGTGTAAAGGATTACAAATACAGCCCTTTAGTTCACTGACAGGTAAAGAATGAGAATTAAAATCTAAGAAAGCTTTGAGATACAATTCACCAGGCACTGCTGGTGGGGAGCAAGAGAAGGAGCTCAAGCAAATTGATGACTTTTTATATCTAGAGTCAGTTTCTGGTCAGGATAGTCCATATGACCAAGATATTTTACTTACAAAAGAGGTACAGTTGGAATAGTTGTACTAAATTTACTAAGGATGGGGAAGAATAGAAACATTACCTTGAAACCAAATAGCAGCCTTTAACACTGCTTTGCAGAGTGTGCTGGGTGAGGAGAGGGAGATTCAGAGACATGAAACAGCTGAAGCAATCTTATAAAAGCTAATCAAGAATTCAAGTGATGGTATCAAATCTAATGACTCTGTATTGGGAGATAATTGTGACCAGAACACTGCTTACCACCACAATTGGAAAAGGGGACATTAAAATGAAGGAATGAAGCAGGGAAGACTAAAAGTATGGAGAAAATAAAGTGAGACATAACCAGACAAGAAGGTTAGTAAAGAACATGTAACTGCAAGTCAAGGCAGCCTATAAAGCCATGAGCCTGGGTCAAGGAGGGCTGAAAATGCTGCTGGTACTTTCTGTACACACATACATGTGTATTTCTATGTGTATGTAGGTGTAAGATGAGGTTGTAGATTGTTGCTTTTGTCCTTTCTGGATCACAGGAGGTTTTACAGCCGCTGGAGGTGCAAATCACTGACAGGAGTTCTGCATGTGACAGAAGAAAAAGGCAATTCCTGCCTCCTTGGCAGTGCTTCTGGGGTCCTCCAAGCAGCCAGAAATGCTGGATGCAGTTGTAGCATGGAACTGAATTTGCCCTGGCAAATATTCTTCCTGCCTGTGTTATACAAACCCCAATTTCACTCCAGAAAGCTTGGTGTATTCATTTCCTACAGTACGAAATCCCCCCAAAAGATCTTGTTATAGTTCCAAAGTCTGCGTGTGCTGTTGGAATAAAACAGTGTGTGTGTGTTTGTGCCTGTGTGTGTGCAGTAGTTTGGTTTGTCTCTGCTCATGAATCGAATGTTGAATGCAAAATGATGTAGAAATTGTAGCTTGTTGCTCCCAGACAGGATGAAGCAGGTGAGGAGCCTGTCACCACTCTGCTGGTTCTACACTTTGCCCTCAGTGCTGGATTTGAGGGTTACTAAGTTAGCAAGAGGGCAGCTGGAGGAGGTAGCTGAGAGATAGGGAGAACTTATGTGAGTCTATTAGATATGAGAGAAGGATTATACAAAGATTTAGTGGTATGACCTCACCTGATGCCTCTGGTCGCTCACTCCTACCAATTGTGGCTTTGTTCTGTCACTTTAGGAGTAACTGTGTTTAGATCAGATGAGTTACATTGAATAGAATTCCTGCACGATCAGGTGTGGGCCCAATTTCACAGACTCATACAGTTGTTTGGGTTAATTTGTTGAACTCCAGGCCAGTGTGACTTGTCTCCTTTAGCTCTGCAGCCTGAGAGGACACAGAGAGTGAAACCCAACTGTCAGAGCTGGCCCATCCCATTTCACAGCAGGGTTACAAATTCCTAGTGGGAAACCTTAACCAAATGAGTCAGACTCACTCAGCCTTTGAAAGAACCCGTGCTTGAGTAGCAAGGATGCATTGCAAAGGTTTTGCAGAGCTCTCTGTAGATTTACAACTTCTAACGTAGACCATCTTGGAGTGGACAGGAGCAGCTAGAAACAGACACCTGTGCAGGTGTATTTCACCTCCTGCCATCACAGAGTACAAACACCACAGCTTAAATCTACTCCACAGTATTTAGGTGCACAGATTTTACACTGTTGCTCAGCCCAGGAGGTTATTGCCAAAGGACTCATCATGCTACAGTCCACCCTGACACTGCTGCAGTGACTTATGGCTATGCTGTACAGTGGGAACAGACTCTTCCTTATTCTGTCATTGAAACCATGTGTTTGTACTGTACCTCTAAATCAGGAGCACCCCGAGGAGCTTCACAGTTGATCTTTATGTCAGCAACATTGGTGGTGTAGGCCTCATCATGCTGGCAGCTCTCTATAGGCTGGAGAATGTTCTACCTGTTAGTACATTAAAAAAGTTAAATATGTGAATGTGTTGCAATCTCTAAGCAAATACAGAAAGGAATAGAAGGGTCAGGTTTTTCAACCTGCTGCACATAATAGAGGCTACACCCATGACTCAGGATTCAATTCAGACTTACACAACCATGGCCTAGGAACCTGCTGTGATCTCTACAAATTACTTTGCTTTGGCAACAGGATTTATTCGTGCTCTTCTGCTCTGCTCCTAGGGGGGACTGGCTTCTGGGGTTTGTGTACAGAACCTCTTCTGCCCAGATCAATGTTGCAGGCCTCCAGCCAGTCGACCTGGAGGACAGGAGGATGGTAAACATGGACCTTTCATCTGTAGTAAGTAATACTACTGATTTGCTCAGTGTTTCCTTTGCTTGCAGCACTGCAACTTCACAGTCATTGATGAGAGGAGAATGGGATCCTGAAGAGAGCGCCTCTGTGTGCTTCCCTTCCCTACTGATCTCACACTTCACTATAGATTTTGTTGCCCAGCCAGCACTCAGTATTGAGCAAAATAAGGAGAATCTGCCTCTCTTTTTGGGTATTTTGAGGACTTTTTTGTTGTGAAATACCTCATCCTGGAGACAGAAAATGCCATTATCTCCAAGAAAGATCCTGGTGTCTTGCAAGCCCTGTAGAGGGCACATAGGTAGGATTAGCAGCTGGGAAACCTGGAGCTCAAACACACTGCAGTCTGCAGCCTTGTCTTGGTGGAGCCTTCAACATCATTCAGGTCCATACAGGGACAAGTCCACAGACCTTGTACCTTGGTCCTCTGGGCTGCACTGGTGCTGTGGTGCAGGAGCCAGTCTCTAATTGCAGCAGCTCTATGATGAGTTGTTGGAGGTCTCCAGGAAACAGAAAGATACTCACCCATGTGCCTGGTAGACATCAACTTCCTCAAAGCTATCCGGTGTCATTAATGAAAAGCCACTGGATTACATGTCTAGCAATGTTCAACTCAATTACCTTAAGCAAACTAATGATCTCATTGCTTTGTCTTCACTGATGAGTGAGCTCTTTCACAGGAATTCATGCAAAACTTCCTTGTTTATCCATATACACAGTGATCTTGGACACACAGTTCTTGTTTTGCCACATCTTCATGTTTTAGTTCATTTTTCACTCTGCAAAGTGGATTGGAAGATGCTGCAGTTTGAATGTCCCCACTGTCAATGCTGCTCTGGAGCCAAAAGCACTCAAGTGCTTTCAGATTTGTTGGCACACCAGCCTGCTGAGCCTATAAGTACACAACTGTTACCTGCTCATTTCATTCGTTATACCTGAGCCATGGCCAGTCCTTGCCAGAAAATACAGGGCTTAATGCTCTACAGATCAAATAGAGACCCTGCAGAACAAACTAGAGGCTTCCCAGAAGGAAATGCTGTAGTAAAGGCTTTTAAACATGGCCCAGCACTGTTGTTTTTCCTGTATCTTTGCATCTCACTGGGTTTTCTAGGTTTGCATTTCCACATGTGCCCAGAGGCAAGTTCTTCCCCATCCCCAGAGTTGCCATTAGTCACTTGTGAGCAGTGACATCTGTTGCTGGCATGAAAAGAAGAATGGCCAAAGGTGTCAAGCGGTGTTGGCATTGGGTGACTCCTGTCAGCTCAGCCCATGTTCCTCTCCTCTTTTTGACTTCTCTTCAGAAATTCTCTTTCTGTTGACTTTCTGCTTCCTGGACTTTGAATTCCCCAGAGCCATGCAGACTCCCTCCTGCCTGGCTGGCAGCAGCCCCAGTGCCCCCAGAGCTGCAGTATTTACAGTTCTAAATGAATAAGCTTGCAGAGCTGCTATCTGCTCATCTTCCATTGCTGTGCATCTGTACCCAGACAGCCCAGTACTGCTCTCCTTTCAGAGGGAGCTGACACTTCCACTTGCTTCATCTGACTGCAAAGCACTGGGGTTGGAAGCAACTCCCGCAGGAGGAGAAGCCGATCTTGATGAGGTATCATTGTCTGGATCCATTTTCCAGACCATGGAGCTTTATGAAAAGAATTACAGAACACTCTGATGAATATTTGACAAGTGAAAGGAGCAAGAATGGGCAGGAAACACTCAGGGGCAATCTGTTTTAAAGCAAAGATGGATTTTGCTGCAAGTACAGTGCAGAGAGAGTTTCTGCAATGGGGACTGGCTCCATCCCTGCAGATGCCTTTGCAGGATCCCATCCCCAGGAGTGTCCTGCCAGGAATAAGAAAGGCTGAGCTGTGCCAGCATAACAAAGCATAGGTGATGCAAAGGTGCTCAGTGTGAAAGTATTATACAGGCAGCCTCCCTACTGATTTAGGCATCTCCCTGCCCATCCATGATGAAAACTGGGCTGGGTCCAAAGAGCTTGGTTCTTTTTTCCTCAGAATCCTCAAATAAGTGGAGGACTAAGAGCTCTCAGTATAAACAGGACTAAGAGATTCCAGTATGAACAGGGATTCACCTCTGAGGCATTTACTGCGTGTCTCTCGTGATTAGTATGGGTTTTAGCTAGCTGTCATTAAAAAAACAGAGAAAAAACTGTCCTCCCACTCAGCAAATGCAGTTATAAAACCTTCCTAATGGTTACAATGGGGCTGATTTATCCACTAGATTTATTTGACAGCACCTGTTACAGAGACCGAGGAAGCAATTGAGCTGTGGTGGGTTAGACTGATTGCTGCTTGTTCAGATGGGCTATTGGAGATGACATCCTGCATTAACATCTGTGTGTTGCAGAGCTGCTCCAGTCAGAGCACAGACAGTGTGTGCTCAGGCGGGTTCACAAGTCAAGAACAGGGCTTTCTCTGGGCAGTTTAACTGCTGCAGAAACCAGGAGTGGACTTGAAAGCAAAGGAGTAGGAGGAATGTGTGGTGGGAAGTCCAGCAGAGAGCATGGATAGGCCATGATGCCTTCCAGTGTCTGAAGGGGGCTACAAGGATGCTGGAGAGGAGCTCTTCATTAGGGACTGCAGCGATAGGACAAGGGGTGATGGGTTCAAACTGAAACAGGGGAAGTTCAGGTTGGAGATAAGGCAGAAGCTCTTCCCTGTGAGGGTGCTGAGGTGCTGGCACAGGGTGCCCAGAGAAGCTGTGGCTGCCCCATCCCTGGCAGTGTTCAAGGCCAGGTTGGACACAGGGGCTTGGGTGACATGATGAAGTCTTTCCTTTCCCATGCTGCTAATGGCAGATAAATTCTCCTTTTCTTATTCTTCACCAGCACATGTGGAGCCTGCCTTGGCTTTGCAAATGGAGAGATCTGTGTGGTGTCTGGAGATGATCCTGTTATCATCCCTCCTCAAACACACTGGTCTCTGTCCCCTGGCCCTCTCCACCCAGAACTGCTCCATCACTATGGAGAGCAGCATCACAGCTCAGCTCATCTCCAGGGAGGGGGCTGCAGCTCCCATAAACTGAACTGTGTCTTTATGGCACTTACTGCACCCAACAGAAAGCCTTCAGTTGGAATTTTAATAGCCCATTATTCTCAATGACATTTCTGGTCCTTTGGGGTGGATTTGAACTATGGAAACCTTTCCAAAGTACCAGACTGATTGCTCCTTCCAGCTGACTGATGGATCCACCTGAGCAGTGCTGTCACCTGTAGTAGCCCTTTGGAGATCAGGCAGTGCAGTGCTGTTGTCCCACATCAGAATTAGTGATACAGGCAGCTTGTGCTTTCCAGTGCGTCAAAGCAGCCATAAAATAAGATACCACAGGGGAGAAGTCACTGATGCACACTGATAAACCTACCCCACTGCTTGCATTTCCTTATAACGAGCATAAATGTATTTGCTTTGGTTACAAGAACACTGTTCTATTCCATTTGTTCCAGAATTCCTCCTGCCCTTTGTTCTGACAGATATTGAAGCAACTTTTTATTTCCCTTTAATGCTTTTATTGTTCCTTGTAACGTTTTCAATGTTCCCATCCCATCTCCTGTGCAGCCAAGCCAGTGGAAGAATTCAGCACAGGAAAACAGGCTTTTAAGAGATGGAATCACTACATTTTCCCACCAGGATGGCTGCACAGCTTGAAAGCAGCAAGAAAATGTGTTTGCTGTTCTTTTGCTGATGGCTCGGTACTTAAGGTCACAGTATTGGATTTGGCACATATATTCTATAGCAGAGAAAGAGTCCTACCTCCTCTTAATGCTTCTCAGGGCTTGCCTTGGTCTGGCTTTGTGGAATTCTCTCCTGGGCCATCCTGGAGACAGAATTGAGTTTCCTTTCAAGACGTTTAGAGCAGGCATCTGAGACAGGCTTTCAGAAGGCCTAAGCTTCTCTTTTAGCAGCACAGGGAAGGTTCAGCCCTTCAGAACCACTCATACCCAGCACCTCTCAGTGATCATGGCACTCGAGGAATTCCTGCTGCTGGATGATGCGGAGTTACAAAAGTCTTCTCCTTAGGGGGGCAGAGGAGATTTGTTCTCCCTAGTAACTAGAGAACATGACAGGCTGAGAAATTCCTCAGTGCTGATCAGGACAGGTTGGTGACTGCAGAGGTTTCAGAGCACCCAAACAAGAGCCTTCCCAACCCCTCCCAAAAAGCCCATTTCCTCCTTGTTTCTCCAACACTGCTCGTTTCTCTCTTTAGCACCAAGCCCCCCTGGTGAGCAGTAAAACGTTCAGCCTTGTTCAGAGAACAATGCACACCACAGCCAGTCCATTAGCCCTTCAGTGGTTATTTTAATTAACTAATCTGTTGGAAACAGGCAGAGCCCATTGAGCCATCTGGGCTGGTTAAAGCCACATATTGCATTAGTAATGTGCTGATTAAAAACTTCATTTTGCTCCAAGTCCCGAATGCATCCAAATGTTACCACTCAGAAACTGCTTCCTGCAAACAGCTCCGAGGCTTGAATTCCACCCATGCAGGAAAGGAGGCTTCTTTTAGGCTTGGGTCAAGGTGTGCTGCTAAGCCTGGCTGCTGACTTTGCAGGGAAGGACCCAGCCAGACTAGCAAGGAGGGAGGAGGCCGGGTTTCTTTGCAGCCCCTTCCTGGGAAGCAGGAAACCTGGGAATGTGGTGTCAGGCATTCCCTGCTGTGGAAATTCCTTAATTCCTAGCAACACGTGGGAAAAGAAGAGGTGGTGTTGCCTGAGAGAGTTTCCTGCCTGGGTCAGGAATGGTTTAATTTGCTAGAAACTGAATTTACCAGAGATGCTTAAATATCTTAGAATGCAAATCATACCTTGCACAGGAGACCTGAAGCAGAGAAGGCAGCTTCTGCCTTCAGCCTGTTGGCCTTTAGCATCTAACAATAATCACAGAATCCCAGACTGGTTTGGGCTGAAGGGAGCTTAAAGCTCACCCAGCTCCAGCCCCTGCCACAGACAGGGACCCCTTCCACTAGAGCAGCTTGCTCCAAGCCCCTGTGTCCAACCTGGCCTTGAACACTGCCAGGGATGGGGCAGCCACAGCTTCTCTGGGCACCCTGTGCCAGCGCCTCAGCACCCTCACAGTGGAGTACAATCACCTGCAGAGGAGGTTCTCTCTCCTTCCTGCGTCCTGTCTGGAATGGAGCATTCCAGCCTCCATCTCAGAAGGGTTTATCTTATCTCAGCAATCACTCACAGTAAAACTGTGTGTGTTTGTGTATTGCTGACTTTAATTTGGCTCAGGCTAGCCTCAGGCTCCCAGTTTCCTATAGTGTGGGCCAGGTCACTGTTTCCAGCCAAGAACCTTTCACACACTTGGTAGCTGTTCTGAGATTGAATTACTATATTACAATTAAGATAATCTTTGCTTTTAGGGACCTAAGGCACGATGAGGGCACTTGACTGAGCAGAGAGTGGGGAGCTGAACTAAGACAGCTCGTCTGGTATCTCTGCCCATGGCAGATTATGCTTTGTGGTACCCAGAATCTGGGGGTTTGTAACTCAGCAACGTCCGAGCACTTAAACACCCCTTAAAGGAAAACTCATCCATGCAGGGAGCAGCAAGCTCAGGTTATCAATGGGCACCTGCATTTGTCAGACCTCTTTTTTCCAGCCTTTCAGAGCTAAACCCAAGTCTGATGATGTTGGTGGCTCCTGAGCTGAAGGACTTGCCTGAGCCAGGCTCCCCACGGCCTCCCCACTAACAGGACTCTTGTTTTCTGCAGGTCAACGGCCACCTGGACTACATGAAGCAAATGGACACGATCCTCAAAGCTGTGGGCATAAAAACCAAGGAAGAGAAGGGCAGTGGCAGCTTCTCCACCCCTCCAGCCAGGCAGTCCCAGCAAGCAGTGGGCAGTAGGACTCGGGAAGAGGAAGGCACTGTGCAGGAGGAGGAGGAGGATGAGGATGTGGCTGCAAGTGATGCTCTCCCAGCCAGTGCTCACTGCCCAGATTCCCCCAGCCCTGTCCTGGGAGGAACCAAGGAACAGGCAGCAGGGGAAGGAGCACATTAGAGCTCTGTGCTGGGCAGAGATGCTCAACCAGCGCTAAAACTGCTTCCAAAGCACTGGCATTCCCAAAGGAATATCGGTAGCACTGGCAGAGCTGCAGCTGCAGGTTTCAGACCCTCCTGAGAGCCTGGAGCATGGCACCAGTGTGTCACTGGATCAGAGCTTATGGAGCAGCTGCCCACAGCATCTCCCATGGAGAAGGGGCTGATTCCTGCCTGAATCAGCCCTGCTCCTCAGGAAGCGCTTCCCTCCTTGCACAAAGTGGGTTTGTCCTGGGAGGAAGCAGTTCTCCCCATCAGGGGCTGTGTTTCTGCTGTGGAACTCTTGGGAAAGAGGTGTCTCTGGGTACTTTGAAGCAGATTGAGGAGAGGGGCTCTAGGAAATGAACCCCCCTTTTGGTGGTCGATTTGGCTTTGGCTTTCACTACATCCCAGTGCCCACACTTCAGCTCTGCTGAGTGAGGAGGTGAAGACCTGGGGCTGCCTGGCTCCTCTCCCTGCCTGCTGTAGGTTTGGTGTGCAGGCTTGGGCATTTCCCCATCAACACGACTGGGAGCTGAGTGCAGTGAGTGCTCGAGGTGGAGACACACTTGGAGACCCCAGGTGAACACAGCAGAGCAAACAGAGTGGGCTGGTTGTGCTTTAGTGCTCTGTAAAACCTCCTCCCAGGCTTTGCAAGCCAGCAACCCACAGAGACTTTGCTTTTGTGTCTCACACACTTCTCCAGCCTTGAAAGTCCCCTCCAGGCATATTTTTCATTGGCTTAATACTTGGCATAGGATGAATCTGTTTAATTTCTGCCTCCTTCCGTAAGAGCTAATTGGTATCCGCTCTCTGCTCCCCCAGTCTCACACCGGAGGGAGGGACCCCACTTTACATCTGCCACCACACAGAGCCTTCCAAACCCATGTGGGACTGATCCACATCTTCCATCAGAGGTTCTTTTCTGACCTGTTTTGCTGCTGAGCCCGAGCAAATGCATCTACCAGGAACAGGGCAGGAGGAGAAACCTTCTCGTGTAGAAACACCTCCAGATCAGAAGGTCTTGACTCATGAGAGGGGAAGGAGCACGGCTGCAGCTTCCCGTTTCACACACCAAGTCCTTCTCCTCCCTCCCTGTCCCAGCAGCTACTTTAATACCCACCTTCCCTTCCCTTCCCGAGCTTTGTGCACACCTTACCTGCAGGTGACTTCTCCTGAAGTCCAAAGTGTGGCTGGTTTGGGGTCTGACGTTGTTGGGGGCTTTTCCTCTCTCCACATCCTGCTGTCATGGGGCTCGGTGCTGCTCAGTGCTGATTCCAGAGCAGGGCCTTGGAAACATCCCAAGGACTGGAAGCCCCCAGCCTGTTTTGCAGGGCAGTGCTGTTGCCTGCAGGAAAGGGCCGTGATTCCTCCGTGGCATCAGAAGCTTTGTCCACAAGCAAGCACCTCATTGCAAAGAACTGGCTCAGTGAGTCGTGGTACTGCTTTTGACCATTTGGCTTGAAGAAGCTCCATCCATCTCCCACATCCTGTGCCTGCTGATCCGGTCACCTCACACACTGCACCCGGTGTCTGCCAGCTCCTTTTGCACTGGAGCTACAGCCAGAGTGTGTTTATACGTAAAGCAGTTTAAGGGCAGATGCACTCACTTCATGCTCGATGCCAAACCCCATCTGTCCTCAGGTAGGTACCAAAAGTGCACGACCCCTTGTGCTGTTTGGACCCGGGCTCAGTCCTGCCACAGGCACTGCTGGCCCTGGGGTGGGGGGCATTTATAGCAAGGAAACGTGGATTTCTTCATACCAACCCCTTGTTCAGTTCTGGAACACACGTGGGTGATGTGGAAAGAAAACCAATGCAATTTGCTTGGTGTGTGGTGGCTTCTTCCAGCATCCGGTCCCGCAGGGATGGTTTGTCTGGATAACAGCGAGTGCTTGGAAAAAGGCAGCAGTCTGATTCCAAAGGGGCAGCCCCGGCCCATCGCTGCGTCAGGAAGGCACTTGAGGAGGGATTTGCTAAAAGCACTCATTGGGTTATTCCACGTTTGAAGTGCCCACTTGCTGCCTTAGTCACTTTTCTCTCTGCTGGTGGCTGCGGAGGGGCTGGAATTGTTGTTTAAAAGACAATATTTGGTTACATTTTCATTGCAAAGGGAATAAAAAGTCTATTTTTTTAACCACATCATCTAAAAATTGACGGATTGTCAAAGTATGATGGGCACATGCCAAAAATAGGAAGCTGTAGGATGCAATCCAAAGGGAAGCTTATCTCCTGTCAGGATACCCACAGAGCCACAAAGGAGGCAAACACCCACACCTTGCTGAGGAGCCAGGAAGTGGTGCTGAGCATTCTGCATCACGTTTAACCCCCGTTGTGCAGTTTGTGATTAAACACGATGGTTTCACTGTGCTGCTGCTCACTGCAGCACCGATACAGCCCCAGTCAGGCGAGGGGATTAACCTCCAACCAGATGGGATGTTCTGTTCCCAAACCTCTTGCCCGTGGGTCATGGGATGCCGTTTCCCCCGTTGCTCTCAGTGCATTTGGTGACCCACCGGGCTGTGGGAGTGGGAGATGAAAGCCAGGCCTTGGTTTAGCTCCAGGGAGATGTTGGCTGTGGAAGATGTGGTGCCCAAGGTTCCAAGTGACCAGAAGAGGCCCCAAGGAGCATCTCTTGGAGAGGGACAAGCGCTTGGTGACGGCGAGCAGAGGCAGGATGGGAGGAGAGGAGAACAAGGCAGGTCCGTTGGGCGGTGAAACAGGGCTTGGCACGGATCCTTCCCAGCACTCGGAGCTCCGGGACCCCCCTCTCAGGCCAGGGGGGTGCTGAGCTGCCGGGGCTGCAGCTCCGTGTCGGGGGGCTCCGCGCCGAGGCTGCCCATGGGGGCCGGGAGCAGGCTGTGCTCGTTGCCCAGCACCCCGGAGTCGGTCTCAGCCTGCAGCGTGAGCACGTTCCTGAGGGACGTGGCGGCGCGGGCCCCGCTGTTGGAGTTCCTCATGGAGAGGGAGATGGCGCTGGGCCGCGGCTCCCCGGGGCGCCGGCAGCACGGCAGGTACTTGCCCATGGCCCTCTTGAAGTCCCTCATGAAGAGCGGGTAGATGATGGGGTTCATGGTGCTGTTGCAGTACCCGAGCCAGGTGAGGACGTCGAAGAAGCCGGCTGGAACACAGCCACACACTGCCTGGGGGCACACAGCGAGGGTCAGCGGCGGGGCCCATCTCAGCCCCCATCCCGGGCCCTTTCCCAGCCGTGGCAGCACCTCCCTTTCACAGAAACCCTTCAGAACCCTTCCAAAGGGCCTTTCCTTGATGCTGCTCCACAGGGAGATCCTGGGATCATCCAGGTTGGAAAAGCCCCTTCAGCTCATCCAGTCCAACCTTTACCCCAGCACTGCCAAGGCCACCCCTAACCCATGGCACTGAGGGTGTGCGAACACTTGCAGGGATGGTGCCTGCAGCCCTGCCCTGGGCAGCCTGTTCCAATGCCTGAGCACCCTCTGGGGCAGGAATTGTTCCTCAGCTCCATCCAAACCTGCCCTGGTGCAGCTTGAGGCCATTTCCTCTTGCCCCATCCCTTGTCCCTTTGGTCCTGGAGCCTTTCCAGCAGTTCCTGCAGGTGCCCAAGCCTGAACCCATCTGGTTTCGAAGTGAAAACCGACTGAAACCGCCATGTCAAACCCACCCGAGCCTTACCTGCGTCACGTTGGTGACGAAGAAGGGCAGCCAGGCCACGAAGAACATGCCCAGGAGGATGCCCAGCGTCAGGCTGGCCTTCAGCGCCTTCTTGCTGTGCTTGCTGGTGAACCTCCTGCTCTCGCTGCCGGCCGCGGGCTGGCTCGGGGCGCGGGGAGCCTGGGGAGGGAGAAGGGACAATGAGCGATTCCCACCAGCTGGAATACCGGCCCCAGCCTGCAGGGAAGTGCAGAGCCTGCAGTTCTTTCCCTTTGGGCAGTGGGCAGGAGGGGACACGCACTGCACCGCGCGTCGGGGAGAGGAGGCAAGAGAAGCCCTCAACATTGGGAGCGCTGTAACTGGAAAACAGAGGCTTTCTCGTCAGGCTGTTCCTTGAGAGACAAACGCGGCTCATCAGGGCTTTGGGGAGGATAAAACATGCCCTGAAGGTGCAGCCTGAGCTGCTGCTTAGAGCAGAAACTCTGTGGTTAAAGGCAGGACATCGGAGATGTCAGCCTGCAGAGCCCACAGCTCAGGGCTCTGTCCCTGCAACCCAAACCGAAGCCATTAGCTCAGCCCTCTGCCAGAAATCACCAGGGGCCCGTTGGCACCCAGCTTGGGGCCCAGAAAAGAGAAGGAAAACGTGGTTAGAAAGGGGAAACTCCAGGATTCCCTGGAGGAGCCTCCTGGGACGCGGGGGTGGTGCTGGTTTCACACAGAGCAAAGCACCCGAGCACCTCGAGGTGTTTGCAGCACCCAAACCCCTGACTTGCGGGCAGAAAAGGCACATTGATGCTGTTGTCGCTGGTCTTCCCTCCTCATTTCCCTTTGGAAAGGCTGGCGCATCCCATCGCGTGCAGGAGCTGGGCAAGTCCCAGAGCCTCGGCTGCTTTTGTCTAAGAGAGAGCAACGAACTAAATCAAGGTATTTAAAGGCAATTACGTTTGTCATTCCCTGCAGGACCCGAGGTCAGTAAAGCCCATTATAGGGAATTAAAGCTGTTACATTTAGCGGCAATTACCTTCTCCTGGAGAAACACAAACAAGCCCCGGTGATAAAAGCCACACACCCGAGGCTGAGCAGCGATGCAAGGAGGGATCGCGCAGCTCCCGTTAGGCACCAGGGAGCAGGAACAGGCGCTGCCGCTTCCAAAGGCTCCCTTGGAACCTGGCATTTGCCGTGGTTTAAACCCCTTCTCCCCCATCCGCCTCACCCCCACCGCGGCCAGGACTGAGGAGGGGGAAGTCAGGGAGGATTAAAACCCCCTGGAAGGACCCAGCCAGAAGGGAGGCGAAGCTCCATTCAGTTTCGCCTGGGTTTCAATACGTTCCTTGTGCTGTTCCTGTGCTCCCGAGCAGCTTAAAAGCTGGGACAAGACACGGGGGGGGCGCATCAGAGGACACCAAGGAGGTGGATGTTGCCCCAAATCCCCCCCGCAGCCTGGCTTTGCTGGCTCCAGAAGCCACAAACGCCCTCCTGCACCCGGAGCACGGGTGCCAGCAAGGAGCAGCGTCCCCATGGGCACCTTACCTGCGCCGTGGCCTCCTCGGCGGTGGCGGTGGCCACGTTGGAGGCGAGGGAAGCCACCTGCACGGCCTGCTTGCGGGCCGCCAGGAGGATGCGGCAGTAGGTGAAGGAGATGGCGGTGGAGGGGAGGAAGAAGGTCAGGCAGGAGGCCACCAGGGCGTAGGGCAGGCTGACCAGCAGCCGGCACTGGTCCTCGTCCCCGCGGGAGGTGACGTTTGGGGACCGGACCTCGAAGTCCAGCTCGTGCCACCCCATCTTGATGGGCAGGAAGGAGGCCAGCGCGGCCAAGGTCCAGGTAGCCAGGATGAGCCAGAGGGCCCTGCAGGAGGTCATGCGCAGCTTGTACTTGAGCGGGGAGATGATGAGCAGGTACCGGTCCAGGCTGATGATGCAGAGGTTGAGGATGGAGGCGCTGCAGCACATGACATCGAAGGAGTACCAGAGCGAGCAGAAGTCACTGCGCAGCACCCAGCGCCCGTAGAGCTGGTTCAGCATGGCCGGGGGCATCACCACCAGCCCCACCATCAGGTCGGACATGAAGAGCGACACCAGGAAGTAGTTGGAGGTGTTGCGGAGGGAGCGCTGGGTGACGATGAGGAGGATGAGGAGGAAGTTCCCCGCCGCGGTCAGCAGGATGATGAAGCAGAGGAAAGCAGCCACCCAGCTGCTCCCCACCAGCAGCGAGCGCTCCCCCAGCACGCTGGCGTTGGGGGCTCCCAAGTCACCCTCCATGAGGAGTTGCAGGGAGCTTCGCCAGCACGCCCGGTGCTAGGTGATCATGGCAGGGGGCAGCACCAGGGCGAGAAGAGGCATCCCCGTGCATCCATCCTCCCTTCTCCTCTCCTCCTCCTCTCCCCCTGCTCTGTCTCTTCACCGCCGATCAGGGCAGAGTGACGGTCCCAGGAGCCCATCAGCAGGAGCAAGGTTCTCCTCCCCATTACTCACAGCCAGGTGTTTCCTCATCCCTGCAAATCCCCCTGCTCCGGGATGCCCTTGGACACTGCTTCTGGACGCTGGGGATGCTCTGGGCGCCAGGAAGGCTTGAGATGCTCTGGATGGCAGGATGCTTGAGGTGCCAGGGATGCTCTGGATGGCAGGATGCTTGAGGTGCCAGGGATGCTCTGGATAGCGGGATGCTCTGAAGCTCTGGATGTGCTGGAACATAAGAATGCTCCAAATGCTCTGGACCTCAGGATACATCACATACTGGGATGCTCTGGACCGGGGATGCTGGGGATGTTTTGGACCCGAGGCCCTTCACCCGCCCCCCGGCTGGGCTTGGCTCCCTGCAGAGCTCTGTCCCCTGGGGCAGTGGGGCCGCACCGAGCTCCCCTCGCTGCTGCTGCTGCTGCAGGCAGAGGCAGGGAGGAGAGGCAGAGCCGGAGCTGCTCCCAGCCACGCGCGCCGGGAGGAGGAGGATGCAGGCTCCGAGTGGGCAGGTGCCTGTCCCCGGCAGAGGTGCGTGCAGGGTGCGTGTCTGTGGTGTCCGTGTCCGTGTGTCCATGTGCAGGCACCAGCCAGACCTTCACCTGCGGCTCTGCGCTGGACAGCAAGGGATGCAGAAACGCGGATTTGGAGGAGGTGGGGCCAGGGAGGGCGAGGAGGGGATGAGATGCAATGAGATGCTGATGACAACAGGGATCTGCTCTGAACTCCACGAAGTGGCACGCAGAGAGTTCCCTTCTCTGCCTTAAAGAGACAGCCCGCACCGTGCTCTGCCTCCCCACGCCAGCACTGGGGACCCCACATTGTCCGGGCAGGTGAGCAGTGACCCCTGGACCAGCAGGTCCATGGGCAAGCCCTGCCCACGCCAGGCTCCATCCTCTGTGCTGGGTGATTTGAAGCAAAGCCACATGAAAAGCATCCAAGGCTGCACCGAGAGCCCGCTCCGAGCAGCCAGAGGCAGAGGGAGGATTTGCTGGCTGCTTTTCCACCCATCTGCAGCCAGGGATGGAGGGCGTGAGCAGAAGCCAAGAGCGGAGGCTGCACCGCACAGGGGAGCATCAGCCCTCCCCTCCCTGCTCCATGGTTACCTGGGCTGCCCTCGGTGCAGCACCCCTGGGTGGACCCACGGCAACTGCCCTTCGGCAAGTGGGAGCCAGGGTGTCCTGCTGGCTTCTTCATCCCTTCTAGTTGAGCACTTCTGAGTCTTTCAGTGCTTGCCACCACCTCCACACATCGCAGCCAACCCCTCGTGGTGCTCGGCAGGGTCTGCTTTGGGGTTTTAACCACCCAGCTGCCAAAAGCCTTCTTTTCCTTCCAGTTCCTTGCTGCAGTTTCTGCTGGGGATGAGCAGAGCCAAGGGCACCCACCCCAGCACAGACCAGAGCCGTGCATGTGCCTGCCGTGGGGCACGGGCACTGCCCCTTCCTCCCTGCACCACCGCGGATGTTGGTGCAGATGTGGGGTGAGAGCCAGCTGCGCCCGGCCCCATCCTGCTGCAGCCCCAGCACCCACAAGCACCCACCCTTGGCTCTTCACCAAACCCCACTTTTCTCACCAGCTTTGTGCTTTCCCCCGTGGCCCAACGGGCACTTGAGGCCTGGAACCATCTCAGAGCAAGGGACAGGGGGACGCAAAGCAGGGCTCAGCTCTGTGCATGGATGCAGCCCATGGGCACCCCGGGAGCCCGGCACCGCTTCCCTGAGCAACATCTGCCAGCGGCGGCAGGACGAGGCGAGCCAGGGCAGGCTCCGGAGCTGGCGGCTGGGTCTGCGCTCCCTCTGCTCCCCAGAGCTCCCTGGCTGCTCCCAGCCAAAGCCCCGCGGCCACCTCGGCACCACCGCGCCCTGGCAGGGGCCCAGGGCAGCGCAGGCACGCGAGGCTCTGATCGCAGCGGGAGGGATCCGGGAGCAGCGCTCGCACCAGGAAACCCTCCCTTCCCCAGCACATCTGCGCTGGGAACAAGCGAGAAACCCCCCCTGCGGCAGCCTCCCAGCGAGGGCGCATCAAGGAGCAGCAGATTCATCCCAGCTGGCTCCGTGCGAGGGGAGGAAGCGGTGCCACAGGAGCAAAGCCGCGCTCCCCGCGCTCCCCCGCTGCACCCCAGCCTCGGGAGCAGCTCAGCCCCAGAGCTTCGGCTTCTGCGTTGGGTCAGGAGCGCGTCCTCCAGCATTGGACGCGGCTGCTGGGGAAGTGAATCTGAACTGATGGGAGCAAAATGAGGACCGGCTTTAACCGGCCCGAGGGGAGACTGAGATGAGCTCTTAGGCAGAAGCTCTTCCCTGTGAGGGTGCTGAGGCGCTGGCACAGGGTGCCCAGAGAAGCTGTGGCTGCCCCATCCCTGGCAGTGTTCAAGGCCAGGTTGGACACAGGGGCTTGGAGCAAGCTGCTCTAGTGGAAGGGGTCCCTGCCCGTGGCAGGGGTTGGAGCTGGATGGGCTTCAAGGTCCCTTCAGCCCAAACCATTTCAGGATTCCCTGATTCCGTGAAAACGTGTTTAAAAACCCTGCCCTAAACGAGCTCCGAATCCCACCACTGCCCCTGCACAGGCTCCTGTGCCCCCGCAGGGCCCCTGTGTGCGCTGTCCCTGCGCGCATCCCAGAGCACATCTGCAGCATCGCTGCTCCACCAGCTCTGCTCTCCCCTACCACCAGCAGGGAAGCAAATCCAGGTCCTCGACAGCCACACAGCGGAGGAAAGGGCTGCTGAGGAGAACGGGAAGGGCCGAGGGAGCTCGGTGAGGACACGGGGGCGGTCCAGGCCAGCCCCACCGGCGCAGTTTGTCCTCGGGGTCTGGTTCCATCCTTTCCGTGGGATGGCTCCTTAGGGCTGGTTTGGGGCAGAGCCTTTAGCACCTTCCCTCCACAGAGCAGCCTCCATGGCCTGCACTGAGGCTCGGGGGGTGTTGAAGGAGGGGGGGACCTCCTGCTCCCAACCCCTTGTGCTGCAGCTCCTGGGACCACAGGGGCAGTTCCCCGGCCAAACTCAGGCCCTGTTTCCACTGACAGCAATGAAAGAGCCCCGTGGCAGTGGCTGGTGAGAGCGCAGGTGTCTGGAAAGCTCCCTGCTCCCTGCCTTGGGAAGACACCACACAGCCAAAGACACAACCTCAACACACCGGACCCCTCCGGCCCCACCAGGGGCTGCAATTGCTGCCTCAATGCAAACACCATTTGGAGCTGCTCTCCAAATACGTGCAGAGCCCCCAGAGCCTGGGATTCATTCACTAAGAGCTGGTGGCTTGCCCGGACCAGCCTCACATCCCACCGGAGCACCGGGACCTTCTCCAGGGTCAGGTTCAACAAGGGAGCATCACTTGGTTGTCTCTGGCACAGCCAGGCTGGGGGCACCAGTGGGAGCAGAGGTTTGTGAGGGCACACTCTGCCCTGCCCAGGGAATGCCGATCCCTTGGGAAATTCCTTTTCCACCCTTGGAAAAGAGCCCTCTGGTTTCCACCCAAGGTGCTCGGGTCCCCTCCTCACCCAGGAAGGGATGTCCATGCCCACATCCATGCCCACATCCATGTCCACATCCGTGCCCACATCCATGTCCACATCCGTGTCCACATCCGTGTCCACATCTGTGTCCACATCCATGCCCACATCCATGTCCACATCCGTGTCCGCATCCGTGTCCACATCCGTGTCCGCATCCGTGTCCACATCCATGTCCCCATCCATGCCCACATCCATGTCCCCATCTGTGTCCACATCCATGTCCACATCCATGTCCACATCCGTGTCCGCATCCATGTCCACATCCGTGTCCGCATCCGTGTCCACATCCATGTCCCCATCTGTGTCCACATCCATGTCCCCATCCGTGTCCACATCCATGCCCACATCCATGTCCACATCCATGCCCACATCCATGTCCACATCCATGTCCACATCCATGTCCACATCCATGTCCACATCCATGCCCACATCCATGTCCGCATCCATGTCCACATCAGTGTCCACATCCATGCCCACATCCATGTCCCCATCTGTGTCCACATCCATGTCCACATCCATGTCCACATCTGTGCCCACATCCATGTCCCCATCCGTGTCCGCATCCGTGTCCACATCCATGTCCCCATCCATGCCCACATCCATGTCCCCATCTGTGTCCACATCCATGTCCACATCCGTGTCCGCATCCATGTCCACATCCGTGTCCACATCCATGCCCACATCCGTGTCCACATCCGTGTCCGCATCCATGTCCACATCCATGTCCACATCCGTGTCCACATCCATGCCCACATCCGTGTCCCCATCCATGTCCACATCCGTGTCCACATCAGTGCCCACATCCATGTCCCCATCCATGCCCACATCCGTGTCCACATCCATGTCCCCATCCATGCCCACATCCGTGCCCACATCCATGTCCACATCCGTGCCCACATCCATGTCCCCATCCATGCCCACATCCGTGTCCACATCCATGTCCACATCCATGTCCACATCCATGCCCACATCCATGTCCACATCCGTGCCCACATCCATGTCCACATCCATGTCCACATCCGTGCCCACATCCGTGCCCACATCCATGTCCACATCCGTGCCCACATCCGTGCCCACATCCGTGCCCACATCCATGTCCACATCCATGTCCACATCCATGCCCACATCCATGTCCACATCCGTGTCCACATCCATTCCCATGTCCACCTTCCTCCACTCCCGCAGCACTCCCAGGACCAGGGAACATCTGGATGCCACGCAAGGCGCTGGATCAAGAGTGTCACCTAGCGGCAACAGAGCTGGGAAAGGCTCCATGATCCCACAGGGACCCCACGCACTTCCCACACAAGTGGGACCCGACAGCCCTCAAACCTCCCGGCTGCAGCAACCTGGAGCGCAGCAGCGCCTGGTGTGCCCACGTGCAGCCCAGATGCTGGGAATTCGGGGTGGGTTTTCCCTTTAAGAGCTCTTCCTCCTGAATGGAACGCAGCAAGCTAAGGGGAACCACTGCTTCCCGTGCCCTGTACCCTCCTGTGCTGCTGTCCTGCAAGCAGCTTCACCCCACCAGCACCGAGCCTACGGCCACAAACCAGACAGGCACCAGCGCGCTGAGGGGTGGGAGTCAGAACCCATTTATTTCAAACCCAACCAAAACCCTTGTAAAACGGAGGGGGAGGCACCGAGCACAAGCTCTGGAAGCTCTTGTCAAGGCAGCGCCAAAGAATCAGCTCCATACGACAGAGAGAAAGGGGGAGCAGGAGGGGCCCCCACCCCGAGCTGCCCCAGCCCGGCACGAGCAGCCCCTGCAAGGCTCCATCTGCAGCCTGGCGCTCGTCCCCCTCTCCCTCCACCACCCTTAAAGTGCAGCAGGGGGTGGGGGCAGAGGGGCTCGCTCCCCTCCCCGCCTGCTCTTGGCCTTCCCCTGCGAGCCACAGCAGTGCCCATGGCACGATCCAGCTCCCTCGTGGTGGCCCCAGGGACCAGGAAGGGGAAGGCCCCCAACAACCTCACAGAGCCCCAGTGGCTCTTCCTGGGGCAAAGCACTCCCCAGGAGCTGCTGACACAAGAGGGCTGGGGCTGAGCGAAGATCCAGCGAGGAACAGAGCATCCAGCTCAGCTCCTGAGGCAGGCAGGGACGGAAGGAGGCAGAAGGGATGCTGCTGGTCGCACACAGGAGAGCTGCGCGTCTCCTGGGGGCCTGAGATGCGTCCCTTCCTCCTGCACCCCAGGGATGAGCCATTTACAAGAGGAAAACCCAGAAGGGCTCAGCAAGGGCTCCACACGGGTCCGGAGCTTGCAGACAGCCCCTGGGGAGCCCAGCTCAGCTCCTGCTTGCAGCCAAACCCCCCTCATCCGCGTCCCTGCTCCTCTCAATATATTAGTACTATTATGTGCAAGTAGGTTTGCATCCGGCACCACCGAGCCCTCCTCTCAGCCTGCAGCTCCTGCCCCTCAGCCCTGCTTGTGCCTCAGAGCCTTCCTCCTTCCCTGGGGGGCCGTGGAGAGCAAAGCGTGAGGGCAGCTACAGGACAGGAAAGACTCCAGCAACCCCCCCTCCCTCCCCAACCCCTGTCCCGCACCCGCCCCCAGCCCCTGCCCACAAGGACAGTCCACAGGGGCCGGCTCACTCCTCGCCCTCCTCCTCGTGGTGGTGGTGGCTGGAGGCAGGAGGCTCCTCCACCTCCTGCTGCTGGTGGTGGGCGTAGTGATGGGGTGCGGGACCCTCGGCGGGCAGGTTCTCCTCCGCGTTCAGGTAGACGTTGAAGAGGGCTCCCTCGTGGCTCGGCTCCTTCCCGCACGCCTGGCAGCTGCAGTGAAGGATCTTCTCCACCAGCTTGTCCACCCTGGGGATGTCGTCGTTGCCTGGGCAGTCCAGGGTCACCTGGGCAGAGGGAGGAGGACGCGGGGATGAGTGTGCAGGCTCAGCGACCCGATGGACGCGGGGCTGTGGGTCTGACCTGCCCTGTGCCCTGCACACTTGGTGTAGCATAACCCAGGAGCGGTGGTTCATTATCCATATAAAGAAACCTCTACTGCCAGTCTGCAAGGGAAGAGCTCACTAGGGGTGTCAAGGGGACAAGGTGCAGGGAAAGTCATAGGTTCATCATAGAACCATAGAATGGGTTGGGTTGGAAGGGATCTTAAAGCTCACCCAGCACCAACCCCTTCCATGGGCAGGGACCCCTTCCACTAGAGCAGCTTGCTCCAAGCCCCTGTGTCCAACCTGGCCTTGAACACTGCCAGGGATGGGGCAGCCACAGCTTCTCTGGGCACCCTGTGCCAGCGCCTCAGCACCCTCCCAGGGAAGAGCTTCTGCCTAAGAGCTCATCTCAGTCTCCCCTCGGGCAGGTTAAAGCCATTCCCCTTGGCCTGTCCCTACAGGCCCTTGTCCCAAGCCCCTCTCCAGCTTTCCTGCAGCCCCTTCAGGCACTGGAGCTGCTCTCAGGTCTCCCCTTCAGGCGCCTTCTCTTCTCCAGGCTGCCCCAGCCCAGCTCTCTCAGCCTGGCTCCAGAGCAGAGCTGCTCCAGCCCTCGCAGCATCTCCATGGCCTCCTCTGGCCTCGCTCCAGCAGCTCCAGGTCCCTCTTGTGCTGCTGCCCCAGAGCTGGATCAGGGCTGCAGGGGGGGTCTCCCCAGAGCGCAGCAGAGGGGCAGGATCCCCTCCCTGAGCTGCTGCTCACACTCTGGGGGTGCAGCCCAGCACAGGGAGGGGCTCTGGGCTCACTGATGAGCTGTGTTAAGCACTGGCTCAAGCAGGATGCTGCTCCCAGTCACTGCTGGCACAGAAACCTCGGCAGTATCTCAAAGGCCCCCCCCAAGATCGCTGCTGGGCATCTGAGAGTCTGGCCTGACCCATCTGCCCGAAGGCACGAGCTGAAAGCAGAGCAGAGCTGAGCCCAGCTTCCTGGCTTGCCTCAGAGGCAGGGTTTATGGCTCTGCCAGGAGCAATGGGGCACGGAGCTGTCTGGACTGGAGAGATGGGCTGTGGGGAGCACTTGTGGACATCAAAGAAGGCAAAAACTCCCAAGTGGGAGGAGGCAACAACAGGAGTGGTGGCGAGAAGGGCCACGAGGGATGAGCACAGGGATGAATAATGCAGGGCCTGATGGGGATGCTTCTGCAAACACCGATACATGCATCGCCCATCACTGCAGTCCCGCTGCTGCAGCAGCCCCTTCACCAGGCATCTCGAGACAGGTGCTGCCACTGAGAGACACCCGAAACTGCGACTGGGGAACCGCAGGGAAGGAGAATCTCTTGTCCTGACGTGGTGGCAGAGCAGAGCCGAGCGCCCTCAGGGGCAGGACCCCTGGGGCAGGCAGGGAGGGATACTCACGATTTCCCACATGGACTGCGCTGGCATGCAGGAGTCACAGTGCACCAGGGACTCTGTGGACTGAGGGAAGGTGTTGGGGACGCTGTAGCTGAAACACTGCCCCAGGCAGGCCCTGCAGAGACAAGAGGAGGGGTGAAACCTCAGCGGAGGTGCTGCTCTTCCCAACAGAGGCAGGAGGAGGTGCCAGGAGGCAGCCAGGCAGGAGCAGGACGTTGTGCAAGTGGCAGCCCCAAAGCCACCGCAGCGCCAGTAGCAGATGGAAGGAGCTGCCCCCAGCTCCGCGCTGGATCCGTACCTGTTCTGGATGGACTTGGACTCGCAGCCGCTGTGCCCCACGATCTGCGTGATGTTCTTGGCCTCGCACCAAGCGCTCTTGTCGGGGAAGAGGGCGAGCTTGTTGATGGGGGGGGGTGCAGCCAGGAGCAGCGCTGGGAGGAGGGCACCCACCACGAACCATAACATCATGGCCAGCTCTGCCAGAACCCTACAACTGCACACAGGGAGCACAGCGTTAGGAGGGCGGGCAGCAGGCAGGCAGCGCTGCTCCTGCAGCCCCACAGCCGCTCCTGGCCGCCACAAGCACAGCCGTGCCCGCGGTGTTGGTGCTCACATCGGCCCCAAGGCAAGCAGGCTCTGCAGCACACTGCGCAGGGAGCAGGACATCCTGCTCTGCCCCTTCCCTCTTCGGAGCGAGCCCCCAGGCAGGCAGGTACCTGCACCGCTGCTCCCGAGCTTCCTGCCAGGAGCTTCCCATCATCTCCCAGCCCAAGCCGGGCCGGGTGTTTGCAGAACACAAGCAGCACCTCCACGGGCTGAGGCGGCAGAGCTCAGCGCTGGTTTCACGCGAGGGGGGAGCCCACTTCCCGCTTCCTTTGCTCCCACCTGGGAAGCCCCAGGCCGGCCCTGCTGGGAGGGACGAGGGGCAGGAAAACCTCTCTCCTCCGGGAAGCGCGCAGCAGGGGTCGCTGCAAGGCAGCGGCGAGCAGGGAGAGGTGGGGAAGCCTCCATCCAGGGGCCGGGAACGGGCAGCGGCAGGGATGGGAACCGAGCCTGCGGACAGGGGGGTCCCTTCAGCAACAAGCACGAAGCTCGCTCACGAAGGCGGGCAGAGAAAGCCCACGCAGGGTTTCCCTGGGGCCAGGCGTATTCCCGAGCCAAGGTGCCTGCATTAACGCTCCCGATGACCGGGGAAAGGCAGATGGAAAAGCATCATAGGAAGAGGGGAATTTTTTCCTCTGTGGGGTTTGGATGCAGTCACAGTGAAAGGCTTTTCTAAGCTATTTGTTAGAACCGTGTTATTTATTATTTCCTCCTATTTATTTATCCAGACAAAGATCCAAGGCCCACACTGGAAAGACTCCTGTTGATTCCCAGGGCTCCTGGGCTCAGTCCTCTAATGCTTGCTGGGGAAGGAGAGGAAATATGCCTTGTTTATCAGACACTGGTGCCGGAGACAGCTCCGTGCTGGGCGTTCCCCTGGTCTCTGCACAGCGCTCCCCAACCCCTCCTCGGCTGCAGGACCACCACGTTTACGTGCATAGAACCATGGAATGGGTTGGGTTGAAGGGATCTTAAAGCTCATCCAGCTCCAGCCCCTGCCACGGGCAGGGACCCCTTCCACTAGAGCAGCTTGCTCCAAGCCCCTGTGTCCAACCTGGCCTTGAACACTGCCAGGGATGGGGCAGCCACAGCTTCTCTGGGCACCCTGTGCCAGCGCCTCAGCACCCTCACAGGGAAGAGCTTCCTCCTTGTCTCCAACCTGAACGTCCCCTGTTTGTCTGAACCCATCACCCCTTGTCCTGTCGCTACAGTCCCTGATGAAGAGCCCCTCTGCAGCATCCGTGTAGCCCCCTTCAGACACTGGAAGTTGCTCTGAGGTCTCCATGCAGCTTCTCTTCATACATGACCGAGACACCCTACAAGAACCTCTCACAGCTCCAGCTCAGGTATATTAAGGTCATTATGAGGCAAAGGGGTTTGTCCTGTTACCCCTTCACTGAGCCCAAACTCCTGGATCTGAATTGAGAGACAAGAGATGCTGCCCAGCCTCCATCCCAAGGCGGCAAGAAGAGGGCGTCCTCATTCCCTGGTCCCGGGATCTCTGGAGGAATCAGGCGGTCTCCCTGCTAACCTCTATTTCCTGGTGGTACAGGGACTGTAATCACAGATGGTTCAGATTGGAAAGGACCTCAAGGTCATCCAGTAATGGTGTAATGCAGCAACACCTTTACAGCCCTGGCTTGCTAACCCTCCCACCACTTGCTCATGTGAATGCCCCAGTCCCCAGTGAGAATACCTGCACAAAGCAGGGTTTGCGGCTCCTGCTTGGAGATAAGCAGAGGGGTTTAGCTCCTGAACCTGCAAAATACATTGTTGAATGCATTTGCTCTGAAGACAACGCTTAGGGCTTTCTTGTGCTCCCTGAAGGTTCATTTCCATGTCAATGGGGGAGTTCTGCAGTTCCTAAGAACCCAGCTGAGCTGCACACACACACACACACGGCTTGCTCAGCACCAGCCTCATTCCTCAAACACCAGCAGCTCTGTGCTGAGGAATCTCGCTCCCGAAGGCAAGCCCGAGATCAGGGCAGGGATGTGACCCCAACAGCAACTCCAGCCCCCGGGGAACAGCCGGAATTCCTCTGGAGTCACACACAAGTTCACTTCCACGTGCCCCGTTACAGAGCAACTTCCTCCTTCGCAAGGAAAGGTGGTGGCTGGGGTTTTTCCAGGTTTCTATGCGACTCTCCCCAGCAGAGAGGCAAACACTGCGCAGGCAGTGCACTGTCTGTGCAGGCAGACCGGCTTCCCTGGAGCTCTCCCCTTGCCCGGAGGGATGTGTTCAATAGAGGCGTGTTAGACCCATTGCCGGAGGCGTGAGGGGTCACCTCCGAACACCTGGGCTCCTCTCGCTTTGATAGCGAGAGTGAGATGAGCGAGGTTGTGCTCTGCTAACGCACAGGACGTGGCCGGCATTCAGGAAAGCACTTGAACACGTGCTGAAACCCTCTCCTTTCCTGAGCAGGGTTGTTTCAGCAAGCAGGACCCTGGCAGAGGTGAGCAGGGGAACTTCTCTACAGCTGGAGCAGCTATAACTCTGCCCCATTCCATCCCTCACTGACTTGAGCCAGCCACATCCACACAGTGCCTTCGTCCTCCCAAAGAATGCCCTGGAACCTGCACGGCCGCAGCCCCAGTGAGTAACGAGGCTTATGCCAGTGCTTAGGAAAACACCGGATGCAGCTGAGTTTGGGAGGGAGTTTGGGATGGAAAGAGCCTGCTTGCAACCCCGGCGTGCTCACTGGCACAGCTCAACCCAGTCATGCGAACAGAGCTGCCGCTGAAGCCGTTCATCTGACAGCAGACACATGGGGGCAGACAAAGGCACCGTGTTCCCTCTCCCCCGGGCTGGGGAAGGGAAGGCGAAAAGGAAGACAAGGCACCCGAGCAGGTCTGCGGACTCCCCATTAGATAAAGGCACGGAGCACATTCCTCTGTGACAAGCTAAATTACACGTTGCAGCCCCTACAGGAACAAGTGTGTGCTCCCCGGTGCTGACCCCGGCCCTGGCCTGCCTCTCAGGGGCTTCTTTCTCTTTCCACACCAGGGCACACGGGGCTTCTCCTGAGAGTCAAAGCTTTTCAAGCAGAAAGTTCAGCCCGGCTCCATCCGAGCCAGCTGCCCGTGGGGTCTCTGCCCGCTCCCTGCGCACAGCAGCCTCCTCCTCCATCCCTCCTGCACGCGTTGGAGCCATCAAATGACTCAGCCCTTGAGCCTGGCACATCCCAGGCTCCGGAGACAAACAACTCCTCAGCGCAGGCACAGCTGCAGCCTTGTGGTGAGCAGCTCCAGAGCCCTTTCCCAGCCTGTCCCCATGTCCCTGGAGCTGAGGGGCAGCATGACCCAGCGCTGACGGGTCCCGAGGCACCACCTCAGCATCCTTGTGATACCTTGTGAGCCCTTTGAGACCTGGTGTTAGCAGGCTCAGCTGTTCCGTGTCACCTCGAAGAGCTCCTTCCTCCCATCCCGGGGGGTTCTCAGGACAGACCCCGCCAACGCCTGGAAGCAGCTGGGAAAATCTACATGGTTACAATGAGGGGAATTACCTCGGAGGCCGCATTCCCACATCCAGCCCACAGCTGTTCCCGGCCACTTGGAAACCAAAGACGGCTGCAGGAAAATACAAAGCATCTGATCAGTTTTACCCTCTTTTGTCCAGTGGGAAGCTTACACCATCACAGGAGAGCAGCCTGCAGGTGGATATGGGGAGTATTCTATCAGTAGGTTAATAGAGTTGTAGATATTGTTCTTATCCAGGATCTTGCAGTTTTGCCCAACACAGTAAACTACAGACACAGGCAGGTTGTGCTCACAGCCACATCCCAGGTTCTGAGAGACAACAAGCCCCTAAGCTTTACACACATTGCTTAGCCAAGGCTCAAAGCCTGTGGGTACAGCACAGAAAGTGTCCACTCCATGCTGCAGCCAAGGAAAATGAGGTTCCAAGCTGGAAAATTTGCCCTATCTCAAGGCCTAACTCAGATCCCAATCCTTGTGTGAGATGCAGGAGGTCTCAGTGTGGACACGATGCAGGTTTCAGCTCCTGGTGTGGATCAGAACTGGGCTCTCCACCTTCCTCCCCTGCTCCCTGGACACAGGGGTGTCCTGAAGGAGCCAGCCTCCCACCCAGCACGGCTCTCACGCCAAGCGCCCAGGGCAACCCCAAGTTGGTGCTGGACATGAACCACAGCACTTTAGGGTCCTGCCTTCGTGTTCAACTCATCGTCTGTGCCATTCTGCTGCATGGAGCTGCCACACAGCACTGCAGGGAGAAGAGGAGGCACCAAGGATGCGCTGCTGAATGCACTGCTCCTGCCTCAGCTTCCCTAATGGAAGAGCAGAGACGGGAGAACACCATATGCTGGGTGAGCTGATGGGTGCAGAGAGTGGGAATGCACAGGGAGGGCTTTGGAAGGCTGCAGGGAAGAGGCTGCAGGGGCAGGAAGGGAGGGAGGCTGCCAACAGCTCTTGCCCCACACAATGCCAGTGGGGACACGGCGCTGCAGGGTCAGGAGAATGGAAAGCCAAGGACTCCAGTGGGATCTCTCCTGTTGTGTGGAATGATGTCCCTGCAGGAAGCTGTGCGTGCTGGAAGGTAAGAGATTACTTAGGCACCTAAGAGGAAGCAGAGCCCCAGGAAGGGATTTGGTGGCAGCTGGGAGGAAACATGGATGTGTCCCACAAAGAGCACAGCTCTCCTCAGACACAGGATTTTGTCTCTACAGGAACTTCGGAATACTAAAAGGCAATTCTTCAACTATTTGCTCACATGGAAGAAAAGTTCCATTGAGACAGCTTTATTAGCAGGGAAAGTTTCAGTCTAACCTGTGAAAAGCTGGAAAGTCAATAAAACCTATCAAACCAATGGCTTCAGTCAGTGCTTGCCCTGACTTCACACTTGCCCCCTTTTGCAATCTGAGTTGAGGTGAAACTACATCTGTCAAAAACACATAGTACAACATCCTCTGGGAACTCTGCTGTTGTCTGCAACAGCCCAAATCCATCCCATCGATGCCATGGCAGGGGAGAGGGAAGAGAAGGACGCACTGAAAATGGGTAGAGGTGATTCTTGAGGCCAGCAAGGCTCCACTGAGCACACAGCCTCTGCTGAGAGCTTCAGGCTTGCTTTGAGCTGCAAAAGCCGGGAAGAAAGAGTAACACACAAACAGGGAATTACTACAGGAGGGCGTTCCATATTTAACACGCACAAGAATCGGTCCCAAACCCACTCTGATAACGGAGCAAGAGCTGTGCCATGAGTGGCTCCTGCTGCCTCTGCCCCTTTCCACAGCAGGAGACGTCAGAGCTCCCCGTTCTGTAACATATTCCTTTCCACTCACACATGGCTGCGTGATTCACAGCAAGAAAGCAGAAGCAGAGCAAAGCACTGCAGCACTTCGAAGCCCTCTCCCCTCCCCAGTTCTAAAGCCTTTGGTACGCTGGGAGTTTAAACCTGGCCTCTCGACCACACTCTGAGCACTCAGAAACTCAGGTCTTCTGCAGCTGGAAAAGAAATCCCAGCTCCTTTACCCACAAAAGCCATTGGAAAGTTACCTATGGACTCATCTAGGCTTAGAATGGGGTCCTGAAGGAGGAAAAGGGACACACAAATGGCCTGGGGAGGAGGCAAGAGTAATCCAAACTGTTCCTGGTGGTTTATTTCAATTGCTCAATTTCTGCATGAAGAACAATCATGGACAGGAAAATGCATCAACCGAAAGCACAGGAATATGTCCCAGCCCCACATCACCCTCCAGCCCCCCTCTTCTTCAAGCACCTGCTCGAAATGTGGGGCTCTGCTGTGTGGGATGGGAAACAAGCCTGGAACCAGCTCTGGGGAGCAGCAGGACTGGGGTGCTCGGAGGCCTGGGGGAATGCAGAGCGCCCAGGCTCCATGTGAGAGCCCGTGCAAGGAAGGATGAGCCTGCCACATGCTTTGGCTGAAGCAGTCCCCACGCTGCAGCTCATATGAGCAACAGGCACTTACAAACACAGCTGGCAGCAGCGCTCGAGCCAGAGGCCCCGCTCGCATGTCTGGACCTGAAGGAGGCTCGAGTCCCTCCTGCATTTCCCCTGGAGCTGGTGATTCCCACACAGCCATCCCACACATCCCTCTGGAGCAGCACTGCTGCTGCCTGCGGCTGAGGGTACCGGCTGCGGGAGGACGAGAGGTGTCCAAATGGGAACTGTGGATCCAAACCCCATGGAAAACCCCAATCCCAGCAGTGACTGCTGCCCCTGAACCAGGCTATGATCCCCAGCCCCCTGCGAGCAGCCTCTTCCCACCCAGTGTGGCAAGGGGCTGCCTTTTCGCCCACCGCAGCATCACTAACCCAGAGCCTGACCGCTGTCAGTCGGGGACAGGCACCTGAGCGCAGTCACCACTTCCCCTTGCTGCAGCCACAGCTTCTCCCCTCCTTTTTCGGTTGAAGCAGCTCTCAGGGCTGGTGATAAACCCCCCCTGGCTCCTGGGAACGGTCCCAAGAGCCGCTCACATCGCCCCGGGTTTGCTTTGCAGGCAGGCACCAGCTCCCCGGGGAGCGTGGCTCCCAGCAGGCCCAGTTCTGCTTTCACTTAGGAGTGAGGTAAAGTGGGACCGGCTCCTCCGAATGACTCCAGTGGTGCAAATGAGATCAGAATCTGGCACCGCTCGGCTTGCTCACAACGAGCACAACTGGAACCAGACACAACCAGCTCATAGTGGCCACCGGGACCGTGGCTCCCCAGGGAGCACGCGATGGAGCAGGCAGGGACGGGAGGTGGCTCGGGTGCCACCGCGCTGCTGTTCACCTCCCTCGGTCACTCAGGACCCAACTGGCATAGAAACATGGAGCCCTGTCCTACCCAGCGGGGTTGTGCCTCTGGGATCAGGTTCCCGGCTGCTGGAGCAAGAGGGAAGCAAAAGGGTTTGCAGCTGAAGCTGTGGATCTTTCAGCAATGGTTCAGGATCCTTCCTGCCGTGTCGCTCTCCCTTTATGCCCTTTTAGGCCATATCCTGGTCACAACAGCAGAAATCAGGGCTGGAGCCCTGTTTTTCCCTCTTTTAATCTCTGCTTTACGCTGCACCGGCTTCATCAGTTTTAAACCCAGCGTCTGCGTTCCTTACCCATGGCATTGACCGCAGTAGCTCTGAGTTCTGAAGCAGTGCAGGGCCAGAGGCTTTTGGGGGTATCACAACATCTCACAGCCCACTTGGGATGTGCGACTGCTACCAGACACCGCGGGCTGAGCTCACACTTGATGTTTAGACACTGTCTCCCCTCAAAGTGCAGGATTTGGCCCCATAACCACACTGAAATCAAACTGGGAACCCAATGCTGGCCCTTTCCCCTCTCTGGACAGGTCGCCTGAGCTGTGTATCAGAGGAGGAGGTTTAAGCCACATCATCGAGAGCGACCAACGCGAGGGCCCGATCCTGACGCCATTTCCAAAGCTCAGCTCCAAAGTACTGCAGTTTTGGCTGGAATGGGGGGAGCAGCCAGCACAGCTCCACAACTGAGTCTTGGGCTGCTCCGTTCTCACCATCGGTGCTCATTTACACCCTGCTCCCCTCCACCCCGTGTTGCTCCCCCCCCCCCCGAACGGCGCTGTGTGAAGAACAAAGGTCTGCGGAAGCAGGAGTGCTAACAGGGGACAGAGCACCCCTCAGCCCGCCCCAAAAGCACGTTATCAACCAGGCAGGGTTTTCAGACTCTCCTCCATGAGGTTCCTTTGCCCTCCACCGTGCTGGAGCCCCCCAGCACTCTGGTCCTTGCTTTATCCCAGAGGATCTCTGAGCTGAGCAACCAGAGGAGGGGTTTTTCCAGCAGACTTCAAACAACGAGGAGCCGGAGCAAGTCCCCGGCTCTGCCTGCTCCACAGGGATACAGGGGCTGGTGGAGAGACTGCGACCGCGTTAATGGATACAGCATGGAGCCTGGGGAGGAATAACTGCCCAGGAGCTCACTCTGCTGCTCGGGCAGGTTTCCCACTGTACCAGCTTAATGCGACCTCAGCGATGCCAACACCCAAAGTTCCTCCAACACGGGCAGGTCTTCAAGGCTACTTTAAAAGCATTTTGGCTCAATCCTGCACTTCCTGGGCACCCAAAAATTCCCTCCAGCTTTCCCTCGCTCCGGAAAGGCGACCGACCGGGCACTCGGGAAGACTTTGCTCATTCACCCTTTTTGCAAGACCACAAACTCCCCAAGCTGGAATCCAGCACGGGGCGGTCAAGCCAAGAGCCCGGATTCTTCTCAGGGCTGTTTGCAAACACTTGGGATTTTCAGACCAAAGGCAAATTCCATTTCCCATCCTGCGGTTTGCAAATGGGAGGCAAAGCTGCCTTTTAGGAGATGGGAGACTGCCTCCCTAAAGCAAAAGTGCCCGTTGTACACGGCCGAATTTTGGCTGGTTGGAAATTGCAAAGAGGACATGCAGTTCTTAGGCTAAAAATACAAGGGAAAATCCGGGCCTCGCCGTATCTTTCCCACTCGTTTCAGTGGAGTGCAGACTCTTCTCCAAAGAAAACCTACAGGACAAAGCTACAGTGCCCCAAATGCACAACCACTCCACGCAGGCTGAATTCTGAAGTCGGTGGGGTTAATCCTATATAAATCCTATATAGGAAAAGTAGATTGTGGAGCAGAGTGTAAGATTCTCATACAAGTGCCCTCGTAAGAGAAATGTTAGTGGGCAACAAGATTCTTGTATATAACAAGTGAAAATTGCCACAAATACCGAGGCAAACTGAAACACTTCCTCACAACTCAAGAAACAGGTAGAGAGCTATAGGATCTAAGCCTTTGTAATACACCAGCAAGCACGAAACCTATTTGTAGGCTACAAGGATGTAAATTCATCCCCTTTTTCAAGTAACAAAAGTTCACTGCTTTGCCATCCAGAAAATCCCCTTCCTTTACACTGCCCGAAGCACTCCCCGTCCTCTGCCGTTGCGGTTAATGGACAGTCGGAACGCTCCCGTTCTTCCCTCCGCACTTTTGTTGGAAACCCGAAGGCGATGGGCAGGACTCGGCACCGCAGCCGGGGACCAGCGCGGCGCGGCGCGGCTCCCAGCCCCTCGGCTTCTACTTTATTTGCGCTAAAGCGGCGGTGGGAATCGTTTTTAACGCTCGCCCAGCGGCTCCCCCGACCTCCGCCTCATCTGCAACTCATTTCTGGCCATGGCCACACCGATCACCGGGGGAGAGGGGGGGAGCAGAAGGGAAAAGAGGCGGAAAAGCAGCGGCGGAGGGAAGGCGGACGGGTGCGGCGAGAGGGGAGAGGCGCGGAGCCGCGGTACTCACCACCCAGGCGTCGTTGGGCACAGCCCATGGGCTCCGGGGCCGCGGCGGGCGGCTACAGCCCCGCGGTGCCCGGCGGCTGCCGCATCCCCGGCGCCTCGGCCCAGGGAGGCGCGGGGCGGGCGGGACCGGCCGCCTCCCTCCCGCTTCCCTCTTTCCCTCCCTTCCCTCCCCCCGGTGCCGGGCTCCGGGCGGTGCCGCCGGCCCCGCGATTGCACAATCGGGGCGGGAAGCGAGAGGAGGGGAGAGGAGGGACGGAGCGAGGGAGCGGCCCCGGCGGGGCGCGGGGAGCCCCGCTCGCAGCTCGGGCTGGGCGCTGGAGGCACGGGGCGGGGGGGGGGGGTGGCCGCGGCCGGCGTGTCCCGAGCAGGAGAGCCGGGTGCGGCGGCTGGAGCCCGGCGCTTGCTCCGGCAGCGGCAGAAACAGAGCGTGGGTAGGGCTCACTGAACGCGAACGGCTCCCGTTTAAACCTAATGCTTGATAGAGAGTGCCTGGGGTAGAGTCCTGGCGGCGGCACAGGCTTTGGGAAAGTTCTGCAGCACGAGGGAGGACGGGTTTCTCTTTTCTTTTTCCTTCCCTTCCTCTTTCGCATCCTTCCTTTCCCTTCTCTTTTGCTTTTCCTTCTCCTCCTTCTCTTCCCTTTCTCCTTCTCCTTTCCATTCCCTCCTCCTCTTCCCTTTCTCCTTCTCCTTCCCTTTCTCCTTCTCCTTTCCTTTCTCCTCCTTTCCATTCCCCCCTCCTCTTCCCTTTCTCCTTCTCCTTTCCTTTCCCTTCTCCTTTCCATTCCTTTCTCCTTCCCTCTTTCTTCTCTCCCTTCTCCTCTCCTTCCCTTCCCTTTTTCTCTCCCTCTTTCCACTAAAGAACTACCAGCCAGCCCCAATCCCAGTGAAGCCCATCCATTGCTGTCTTTCAGCTGCAATAATTGCTAGAGAGCGGAAGGACTCTGTTTCTGTAACGGTGCAATTAATCTAATGGAGGCCTCCACATTAAACACTGGCACGGCACTACCCAAAGCAACAGATACCTGCAAGGCTTGGATGGGCTTTGCTGGCTCCTGTTTGTGTGGAGATTTGCATAGGGATCAGAGAAGGAGGAAGAGGAGGTGGTAAGAAGGCAGCAGCTGTGCTGAGAGGAGAGCTGGCTCAGCTTTGGGGCTGGGGGTTAGCTCAAGGAGCCTGGAGCCTGCCAGCAATGGAACAGTTTTCTGCTGCTCCATTCCCTTCAGCTCCAGGACAATAGGAATCTGTAAATAGGGGTGCAAAACCCTGCTGCCAGCATACCTTTCTCACCCTGTTAGATACAAACTCCCCAGGTCCAAACTCTGCTCAGCTCCACAAGTATCAACAAGAGGCAGAGGAGAAGCCTTTCACCATCAGGAGCCCGACCTCTCATCTCCCAGTGTGGTCACCCACTGCTGAACCTGGGCTTTTGGCTGCTCTCGCCCTGCTCCTCATGGCCAGCATGACCAGCAGTGAGCTCCTGCCTGGGAGACACTTTATTCCAAATGCCCCACCCCTGGCAGTGTTCAAGGCCAGGTTGGACACAGGGGCTTGGAGCAAGCTGCTCTGGTGGAAGGTGTCTCTGCCCGTGGCAGAGGTTGGAGCTGGATGAGTTTTAAGGTCCCTTCAACCCAAACCAGGCTGGGATTCTGTAATTCTATGAATAATATAAGGAGTGAAAGAGGAGACATCTGAGGCTTGGAATCAAGTTCTCATGGCTGTGGATAAATGAGGGTAAATAAAACATAGATACAACCAGCTACAAAGCAACAGACCACGGGCATTAAAGTGAAATTCACCCCAGTGTATCTGGTCCGTGGTTCAGTATTTGGATGGGTTCTGTGGGATCCTCAGCGCTGGGGTGTGATGTTAGAGGAGCACCAGGCCGCATGAAGAGCTGTGAGCCATGTGCAGCTCATTCACTGCTGCCCACTGTTCCTTCGTGTTCCAGTTCTGCAAGCAGCAGCCAAGGGGAACATAGCAATCAGTGTATCTGGGGTGGGAGAGCTGAGGTTTTCTGGTGCCAGAAGCAGCAGGCAGAGGTGCTGTGTGAGAGCAGGCTGGGTGGAGGAGAAGACAACCTGCTGCTAGCACAGCGTGGGCTAACGCGATTCCCCTTCATCTTCAGCTGCACCTTCAGACTCTTGCTCCACATCCAGCCTTCAGTCACCAGCTCCATGCAGCTCTGGGGAGATCACTGCTGGCCCCTAACCCATTTGTGTCAAACCACAGCGCTGTTTGCATAGAATCATAGAACAGTTCGGGTTGGAAAGGACCTTAAGATCATCCAGTTCCAGCCCCCCTGCCATGGGCAGGGACACCTCACACTAAACCAGGTCACCCAAGGCTCTGTCCAACCTGGCCTTGAACACCACCAGGGATGGAGCATTCACAGCTTCCCTGGGCAACCCATTCCAGTGCCTCACCACCCTTACAGTAAAGAACTTCTTCCTTGTATCCAATCTAAACCTCCCCTGTTTCAGTTTTAACCCGTTACCCCTTGTCCTGTCACTACAGTCCCTGATGAGGAGTCCCTCTGCAGCATCCTTGCAGCCCCCTTCAGACACTGGAAGCTGCTCTGAGGTCTCCACACAGCTTCTCTTCTCCAGGCTGAACAGCCCCAATGTTCTCAGCCTGTGTTCATACAGGAGGTGCTCCAGCCCCTGAGCATCCTCGTGGCCTCCTCTGGACTTTTCATCCTGAGAGGTGCGACACAACACACCTCTCCTCCTTCACCCCCCAACAAGAGCCCATTTCTTCAGCCTGTTCTCCACTGCAGACAGACACCACGTGGAAACAGAGCCTTGCCCAAAAGCTCCACACCCCCACCTGTGCCTTTGCCTTTCCCCTGCTGCGGGATCACCAAGGCTTTTGTGCAGCGAGGCGCAGCAGAAACCTGCTCTCCAGTCCCCGGGAGCTTCCTTCCCTCCTCCCTCACCCGCTGCTGCTGTTTCGGGCCTGCTGACAAACACCCACAGTGCCAGGGGCTCCCCGCTTGTCAGGACAGGACGAGGAGCTGTGGGCGTGAGAATTAAAAGGGTGTATTTGAAAGTTAAAAATAACCCCATCCCTTTTATTGGTGCCTTCACGCAGCTTCCAAGGCTCCCTGCCCACAGCTGCCTGCTGGAAAACATGGGGGGGAGAGGGAGCTGGGAGAAGAGGGGGTGAAGTGAGAGCGTGTGTGTGTGTGAGGGCTGCAGGGAGCAGCCATATCCCCACCGCTGGGCCCGTGCTTCGGGTCTCCCCCAGTGACGTGTGTTTTGTTTGCTGTCCCCAAGACACACCATGCAGGGACCAAAGAAGGGCTCTCAACCTGAATCAGAACCATGGAGTGTTTTGGGTTGAAGGGACCTTAAAACTCATGCAGTTCCAACCCCTGCCACGGGCAGGGACCCCTTCCACCAGAGCAGCTTGCTCCAAGCCCCTGTGTCCAACCTGGCCTTGAACACTGCCAGGGATGGGGCAGCCACAGCTTCTCTGGGCACCCTGTGCCAGCGCCTCAGCACCCTCACAGGGAAGAACTTCTGCCTTATACCTAATCTGAACCTACCCTCTTTCATTTTAAAGACATTCCCCCTTGTCCTATCTCTTCATACCCTTGTAAAAAGGGTACAAAATTGCATTGCAGCTCCCCAGAATAAAGATGGCTCTTTACCAGCTCCCTTCCTCCACTGGAACATCACCTGCTGAAGTTGAACTCCTACTTCTTGGCTCCTAAGACACCTCCAAGCACTTCAGACTGCTGTGTCTAAGGGTATACACATGCCTGAGGTGAAGGAAGCAGCACTCATGCCATGAGATGGAAGCAAAGGTTTTGCTACTTAAAAAGCTGGGGGGTCATTTCCCATCACCATCTTGGGTAGATGGAGGGAAGGGACAATGGTGGCAAGTAGGATGTGAGGAGCACGTGGCTAACAACATGCTCATCAGGTCAATCCACCTGAGCATCTGCTTTAATAATACACAGAGGTAAAGAGAGGCTGGAGGGGAGGGTTCAGCCACAGGAGGAATTTCAACCAGCCACCTCCATCCTTTAGGGTAACAGATTTGAGCTCTGTGCTGAATCCCTTTGCATAAGCAAAGCAGAAAGGCACGAGTCCTAGGGGTAACTTGGCCAAGCTCCACTTGCCTGGCCGTGTGCAGGAGAGACCTATGGATGGACCTGGCTGGCAGGGGCCGTGCTTGGTAGGGAAGGAAAAGGATTTCTCATAGAGCTCATTAGAAAACATCTGGGCTCAGCAAATGACCTGGAATGCGACTCGGCAGCGGGGCGCTCCTCTCTTCCGAGTGCGGGGAATGCGAGCTCCCGCAGGGTAAGACTCCAGCCAGCTGTTTCCTCTAATCCCATCAGCCTTCCCTTCCACAGGGGTCCGAACGCTCCGAGGGCAGGAGAGGAGGAGAACGTCCCCTTCCCTCCCCTCGGTGACTGGGATTAGTGGTTTCTCTCTAGTGCTGTGCCAGTGCATTTTGGGGCCCTGGGGCAGCAGTAAAAACATGTACCCCTCCCATCGCTGAGCAAGTCCAAGTGTGTTTAATCGCTCTATTTTCCACCTTGCCCAATCATTCCCTGCTCCCAGGCATGCTAGGCCCCTCCGTCCCTCCCTTCCCCAGCAACTCAGGTCATGCAAAATCCTTCCCCTATTCAGCTCATGGCTGCAGGGGCAGTTCCTAACAGGGAGGGCTGGGAAGAAGCTGTTGGGCTTCCTTTGCAGGTGCCCTTTTCCCTACGAGTTCAAACAGCTTCTCTCTTTCTACTTCCAAAACACCAGTTTCCTCCAATTCCATTCCAAAGGGATAAATCCCCTCCGATAACCATCTTCTTTGCTGCTGCACAACTTCCCCCTGCTGCAATAGCTCAGAACCTCTGCTTATAGCAATTCTTTCTCTTGCAGCACTGCCTGAAGGGCCCAGCCAAGCTCAGGGCCTCGTCACAATAGGTGTTTGTATGTGTTTAGAGACAGTTCTGGCACCAAAGCACCGACAAACTGTCAAGCAGCAGAACAAACACAGAACACACACATGTGTGCAGGGAACATTTTGCACATTACCAAAAGGAAACCAGCACCGCCTGAGCCGGGGTGACTCAGCCCACTGCAATAGTGAGCTGCTCTTGCATGTTGCTGCTGAACAAACTTTCTGGCTTCT